AATTGGCTGCCAATTGCAAATGACAATATCGGAAATTTGGCGCGCTGTTACGTGTTCTGATTGAAAGCCGATTTCGTAATAATCAACAGGGTTATTCGGAGGGCAACCGCAGGTTCAATTCTCAAACTGCTCTTGACATTCTTCATGATGTGGCATCGCTCTTCGAAACATTAATTGGTGGCTTCCATCAGACCAGCATCATGTGCACTGGAGGTTGCTTCAGCCGTCACAGGGCCCTGACGACCTTAAAGAAAGCACACTATTGAAGACACGATTCTAACTGTTATGTTTTGAGCCACAACAGCGCTCTTGGGTTCTGCGTCCACAGCCGAAAGCCACATAGCAGAAAAGGAAGCGATGGGGGATTCTGAAGACTTCCACAAGATGGTTTCATCTAGGCTTGGTATTTACGCCGTAAACACAAATCGCATTTACGTTTTAACGCGCAAGAATGGATAAAATAACAACGCAAGTACAGCCTCGTGTACATAAGGACAGTTCATACAGAATTGGGGAGTCCGGGAAGTGACAGCCAGACGCGCTGGAATGGGTAGAACATGGGTAGAACACTTTTGCTCCATGCCGCCGCTGCCCTTGTCGAGGGCAAGGCGGATACTGTGTTGTGGGTGCTGGAGATGGCGAATGACTGATCATTGTGCGCGACTTACATCGTGAAACGTGGGCGTCCCAACGAGCCACAAAAACGTAATAATAGTTGCAAAAATAGCACCTTCAACAAATTTGCGCTTTGCGGCATACAAAGTAAAAGCAATACCAAATCTGGATTCATCCCCACGCGCCTCGCCACCTGACAGCGATGCCTGACGTCTGTTGTGCTTTTCTACAGGCTAGAATCCAGGTTGGGTAGGGAAAATGAGGTGTAGGAAAATCCAACCCCCTGGGCTTCTGTATATTTGCCACAATGCAAGTGATGGAAGTTTTGGTCTGTCGCCATAGTTTGGATGTGTAGGATTATGAGTTTCACATCCATGCAGTTATGTATATCACGCAAATTTCGTTGCGCTGTTTATCAGGATACGTCGTGAATATTGCCTATTGACCTCTGTCTAATGTTTGCACCCGATGCACACGGGAAGTACCTCAAATATCATCATCGGTGATACAGGTAGCGAGATGCTCATCGAACTGTGGACGCAAAGTCTTTTGGGCGACAGGGCGGCCGTCACGGTGTCGTACCAAAGGGATCCAGGGCACGTCGGAAACAAACGTCGGCTCGCCACTATCTCTGAAGTGCGTGCAATAATGTTCCAAAAATAACAGCAGTTGAACAACGCAAAAGAAGCGGAAAAATGCACCGTGATTAGTTTTCAAATGGCTGGGCCAACGGGGGTAGATTGCAGCTCACATCGGAATCGCCATGCGACTGTGTACAGGCGCACATGTGCATATATGTGCATATGCTTGTAACGGCATTCTAATTGATGCTCCATTGCCATCGAGACCATTAACCCCAGACCAGAAGCAAACAAAATGAGCTGCTCCGATCGATAAATTAGCGGATGCGTTTTCAAAGATTGGCGTAGAGACCTTCATCAAAACGCTTTCTTGTGGCCCAGATTTACTGCTTCTGTGCGCGCTTGCTGCAATACCGCAGAATATATTCTTATATTATATTTTATATTTTTATAATTATAATTATATTTTTTATTATATTTATATTTATTATTTATAATATATATTATAATATAATATATATATACATATATTCAGTATATACTGCCATCACTTCCAAGTGATTGCCGAGGCACATTCGTTAGTAACTTTTATTCTCCTTGAAGATGCCTCGATTGCCACGGTGGTGGATATGGCTGAATGGCTTTCGAAGTATTAAAACAATGGCTTCCTGAAAGTAATTGATTTTTGACAGGCTTGTTATTTACGCCGTGGAAACTGAACTTGCTTATTGTTTTATGCCCAAAAATAGGCTTTTTAAGTTTTTACGCATGAAAAAGTTCTTCACGTTTTCACACATAAAGAGAAGTGAAAATATGTAAATTCAACGTAAATGCCGCCCCGTGTACTTGAAGGCAGTACACACAGACTTAGGGGGTCCGGGGAGCGGCATCCAGACGCACTGGAATAGGCAGAAAACGAATTCTTGTTCCACGCCATCGTTGCCCTTGCCGAGGGCGAGGTGGATGCTGTCTTGCAGGCGAGGGGGCGGAGGACTGATCATTGTACGCGACTTTCGTAGTATACCTGTGTGTCGCAACGAACCGTAAAAACGTAAACACAGCCGTAGAAATAGCGCCTTTGCCAAATTCACGTCTTTGCGCGTGGAAACGTAAACGCAAACAACAAGTCTGATACTTGAGTCGCTATATTAAAATATTTGAAAACATTCCTACATTCATGCCTTCAGTGATAGACGATGTCCACTCGAATGCAAAAATGTAAACATTTGAGACATGCCAGGCAAGACTTCTTTCCTGGTAATTTTTGCATTTTTTTCTACTGGAAGAAATACATGCTCGTGCATTACTTTCCGTCCACAATATGCAGATCACGAAACTGAGTCAAACGACACATATTCGCGTCCTGTGAAACTTTTGCCCGCGTTATTGTGGATTTCGATGTTTCTTTTCCAGGACCGCGGCAATGACATTTTGGAGTCTGAGGTGCACGAGTTTTTGAAAAACCTCCAGCTCATCATCGGCGCCTACCCGTGCAATCACGAGTACAGCGAAAACGGCGCGTATTGCAACAATGTGGACAACCCGGGATACGGATCGGTCGGGCACCCCATGCTGCGCATGCCCTATTACGACCCAGATGAAAGGTGCGAAAAATGCCACGCCACTAACAGATTTTGCACAAAAAGGCAACGAAATTTTCTCGATGTCAACTGCGTTACCATGTCCAGAATAAGGAGCCCCGCCACGTTGATTGCAGTGCTACCAAAGCAGCAGTGATGGAATGCACTAACTTCCTATGGCGTCGCATTTGGCTTTCCCAACATGGTGATTTTCATCAGATACAACCATTATGCCCATAGAGATGTTCTACTGGTGTTATTGGAATTGCGCAGAAAGCCTCCAAGTGTTCAATGAAAACCTTCCCGCAAATTCACTTCATGTCATGACAATCAACAAGACGTAAAGTATGAAGAATTATCTTCCACAACTGTCAGTTATATGTCGGCATCCATACAGAATTCAGGCTGCTTCGTTTTAGGTTGTTTGGTTAGTTGCCAACTGCATTGTTTCAAAAAAACTCAATCCTTTTTCCCTGAAGAAATATGCTTACAAAGGCTGGCAAATGGCGAAAGGAATCGCATGGATACACCCACATTGTATGCTCCGCCAACAACGTTACGGTGTTTATGATCATTCTATAACCTTTGCACCACGCGAATACGTATGCTCAAGTTGTATTTAATCTCGTTCAGTAATTGTCCATCTATTCGTCATCAAAATCCATGGATTACGTTTGTCACAAAATGACAAAACACAGCCCGCGCACCTGGTAGGCAATGGTGGGCGTGAAAACCAAGCAGATAGTTTGTTCAGAATCGATTATTCATAATCCTGTTCATCTTTTGAAGGTAAGGTAGTAGATCCGCAATAATCCTTATTCCATATTTTTCGCAAATCAAGTGATAAATGAAGTCTTACTGACGCCGTCAGAAGACGCGCAGTAAACGCCTTGGCAGTAGATTTTAATTAATTCCACTAGAACCAATGACATGCGAATTATGGGTCATGCAACAAGGGAAGTGCGTGTTGCTGACATCAAGCCAATGAAATCTCGCAATTTGATTAGCTACGTGCCTGCTCCTCTCAGAAAAATTTGAATTGGATACAACCCAGCTATTAGACTCTGAATAATGGCGCCACCCTAACCCCTGTGCCACCAAATCAAGCAGAAGACCTCTCATGTCTGGAGATCACAGACGGAACGCAGCCAATGCGGATTTCAGAAAGCAGTCTAAAGAGATATTTCAAAAGAGCTGTCCTGCTGATTTAACAATTTCATTTTGAGATTGTCATCAATGGCTAATTTACAAGTGGCGATGCATGATAATGTACCGGGAGCGAAGGAACTTTGAAATTTGGTGGCAATTAAGCGGAAATTAACCCAAGCTTGAGTGCATCACAAATTTATAAATTTGTGATCTAATTAGATGGCTCCGGGAAGACCCAAATACCAGCGCGCCGATCGACAAGTCCCGGCCCAGTGCCCGCAAAATCAGCAATCACCTCCTGCATCAGAATGGGGACACCAAGGCAGAATCAGGAGTCAACATGCTGTGGGTGACGATGGGGCAGTTCATCGACCACGACATTGCAGCCACGCCGGTTTACGGCGAGAATTCACCGCTGGTGTCTGAGTACAATATCAAAGTGCACCCACGTGAGTGCGTTCGGGACAACTGGAATCAACAAAATGCCCCTTCATGACTAGTGTTCTGACACAGAAATTTTTGTTACTGCTGATCGCGCGAGATTTCCTCCGGAAGAGTCTTTGGAATCCTTAGAAGAACACTCAGCAAAACTCTTCAAATAATGGACTCTCGGATTCTACAATTTGATGCACAAATTTTCCACGGGCACGCTTGCGTTTGCTTACATGATGCACACAAACAGATATACGGTGTATCTGTACATACCCGAGTCGGCGCATGTATCATCAACATTGTATCAAACTCAAGCAACTCAAATGCCGTTCAAGCTGACAAAGAGGGTTTAAACACATACAGTAATATTGGCACGGCGCACTAAATGAGGGAGGTGGGCGCACGTGTGTGCCTGCTTCACAGATTGTCGACAATCGTTTCTTGGCATTAGAGGTTAACAGATTCATGGACTATTCTTCACATTAGTTTTCAATGAGCTGATCATAGATATTGCTTTGTTCGGGAAAAATAGGAAGCCGATGGCTATCTCATCGCCTTGTTCTGTGAAACGTGATGATATGGTGATGACTGTTTTACAGGCGATTATTGGTTTGCAAAGAACGCGAACGGCGCCAACTGCAGGATGGCTGATGTATATGACGGCAGCGACAGGATGAACGACGTTGATGAGTCGTCGGGGACAAAGGGCACTTCGTCCGAGGAGTCTCATGAGGGTGAGATTGGTACCGATGCGTGCGAGTACCCCTCCATACGATTCTTCCGATCGGAGAAGGTCCGCGACCAAGGCGGTTTCGTGTCGCCGCGAAATCAGTACAACGCCCACACGGCGTACCTGGACCTGTCCCAGGTGTACGGCAACGAGGAAATTAGGGACAAAGTGCTGAGGAAGTACGAGGTGGGTCCGACACTCTCGCACTTCCTTCAAGTTTTCCCGATATCTAGCGAGCTTTTTGCAGCAACCTCTGATGCGTTCCAGCAGTGCACTTCTGCCGTTATTTGTTCGCTGGGGAAGCGCGGTGCGTGTCTGGCGCTCTGAAGCGCAGCACCCGCGGCATTCGATTGCTGCAGAAGATAGATCACGCGTAAGCGGCACCTGCTTAATCCTTAGCTTTTGCAGTGGCATGTACATTAATAGACAGGATATCGGTATTTGAGGCCGTATTATGTGTAAATATCCAAATGATACTTGTGTCTGACAGTGCCTGACAGATACTATCTGACACCTGTCGCCTGTACTTGCAATTGCAGGATGGGAAGATGCTCGTGTCGGATGGGGACTACCTGGTGTGTGCCGCAGTGTCTCAGTTAGGCGCTCCTTTGCATATGAGCCTTTTCAGACTGCACAATGCTTCGAACAATGAAAATCACAGCAGATTATGTACAAAATATGTAATCATCGTTTACGGCGCCGTTTCGGCTTCAGTTGAATTTCGTGGCGTGCGCTTGTCAGTACATACATGAGCACGGCCAGACTTGTTGTGTGCGAACTTTTCTTTTCCATTGCCCGCACATTTATGATAATTGCAAAAACGTCCTCAAATCTGCAAAAACATGCATATTCCGCCAGGATGGGTACACCAATCAAGGAGCAATTCTTGCCGCACCAGTAGCGAGCAGAAGACAGGAACAGATCCGGGACAGAGAAAATTTGTTGGATGGACCTGCCCGTCATTGCCTGCGAGGTGCATAGAATTTTCTGGCCAATGGCAATTTCAGAGTATCACAGCTTTAAAATGCATGAATTATTGCATGCTAAAAATGAAAAGCATTGGAATCATGACCATTTCCCACACAGCGCTGGGGCGGGAGCGCATCCAGGAGTATGAGAAACGGCATTCGGATGTCTTAGAGTGGGAAGCACGCCCATTGATCTTTTGATAAAATGGTATTCGTACCACTTTATATTTCCTTATAAGGCTTACTACATGCTTGTACTGCAATTTCCTCAGAACTTGTTGACAGGGTGCTTGATGGTACCATCGCCTCGATCTTCGCAAGATCGGGGTGCGGGACCAGTCCGGGCTGGCGCTTATGGATCCATAAGCGGCCACATTAATAAATGTTACCATCTTGTAAGATGGTTGTTTTGGTTAAACTTAGAATTACGCACATGCGCACGTAAACCTGGGCGTTTGTGCATCTGCGCGTATGGGCAGACCTGACTACGGTGCCGAAAATGCGAAGCTAAGGATTTGGTGGCTCAAAATCTCGCCATTTGGAAGGAAGGCAACAGCAACGCTTAGAATGTCAATTGGGCCAGGCGAATGTGCAAAAACTAGGTTTGAGTGTGCACAGATGTGTAGGACGATCTGCGCTATGCCACCCCCAACAAACGTCCCAGCCACACCGAATACTGTACCCGTCTCCACTGCACATATGATATTAATGATATTAATGATCTCTTCTCGCCTTGCTGCAATGAATATTGGAGACAAGCTCACATAAACACGTGACATGCATATCGCGTGCGATGCATTTCAAACGACGATTGACGTGCTTTCTCTTAGAACGCAGTTCGCCGCATGATCGGTTGATTAGACAACATGAATTTTCCGCTGTGTAGAATCACATAAAACCGATGCGTCAAATTTGAAATTACATGTTCTAATAAGTCGAAACTTTGTCGCCATGACTAATCGAAAATTATTGTGGTTGACTGCTTCGTTCCACCTGTTGTGCAGTTTCACAAATGCAGAGATGAAAGGGATTGCAATTTCGATCTCAATATTTAGTTAATTACCGTGCAGCGAGATTCAGTGGCTGAAAATTGAGATAAATTTATCACTACTTCGAGTCACGCTATTTACTCGTTTCGCTCGTCCGCAGCCTTACAACGGGGAAGTCAAAGGCGGTGTGCACATATCTCTGGCAAACGACGTTTCTGGTGTTCATGCCTACGCGGCCGGTGATGCAAGGGTCAACGAGCAGGTACAAAAAATCACGAGCATTCTAATTACAAGGCACGAGCTGTATACACAAAATATTTCAGTACAAGATCGCGAAAATTTACCGTGGTTTATGCATCCGTCTATGCAAGTGCAATGCAAATCAAAGGTTTAGAAAAGAAGTACCCGAATTCACCGTTTGAGCCCAGCGTTGCTTCATTCTGATGCCATCAATATTTTTGGCCTAATACTTTGAAAATACCATAATCTTTTCCAGAGCAACATAAATATAAATAGGCAACGCTCTGAAAACAAAATGCAGAGCAAAAGCCGCAAAGATAAAGCTTTTCGATCCGCAAGGGTTCAATATAATACGACATTGTCCAGCCTACCTGAATCCAAGTGAATCAGTTTGAATCCAAATCAAATCGCAGCTCAACTGATCTTAGTTCGTGCGCCCGTGCACGCAGCCCTACCTGACGCTCTTCCACACCGTGTGGGTGCGCGAGCACAACAACGTGGCCCACGAGCTCAAGGCGCTCTTCCAGGAATGGAACGACGAAAAGTTGTACCAGGAGGCCCGGAAGATCGTGATTGCGACCTATCAGTCCATCGTGTACACCGAGTGGCTGCCGTTCTTGCTGGGCCCCGGGGCCTTGGTTCCCTACAGCGGCTACAAATCATGCATCAATCCCGGCATCAGTAAGCTGGCGGGACAGCGTGTAAAATGTTTGTGCTGGCGATCTTTTCGGTTAAATTGTACACTCAACGTGCTTTATGCGCATTAAGTGTATTTTGGGATGAACGCAACACTTTTCACATGGTACATTCGCAATGAGTACTCTGTTAGACGTGCACATTTGATTTCAATTGGGGTTTAAATTGGCGGGATTGGTATCGGGCGCGGTTGTGGAATACGTTATGAAATGGCCACAGTGTTTGAAGAAAATTCAGAAGAGAAACGGTTTATTTCGAAGTACAATTTTTTAAAATTTTCAAGAGCTTCTTTGCACTCCAGCTTCTTGACAACTTTGAATCGGTACTGATTTGATAGTCATTCCTTTTGAATTGATGTTGATTTAGAGAACCGCCGGTATCTCAAATCTTGTGCCTGTTGCTGCAGCGTCGTTTTTCTCAACCGCCGCCTTCCGGTTCGGACACAGCATGGTGGCTAAGGTGGGCTTGTCTCAAGTGCCCGCACAATAAGCGGAAAGCATGAATAAAGTATTGTTTATCGACAATTCACAAATGCTTCTAGGCGTTGGTGGATTCCAACATGGATAAATGTTTTGTTGCAATTTCACATGGCATTTTTCTGATAGACGCACATTCAATTGAATAATGTATTGACGGCAGTTGAGTGAATGCAAATGTATATTCTAGTACAGTTTGGATCCCGTTTAGCCACCGCTGGTGACAAGCCGGCTGAGTGGTCGCTGAGCCTGCGCGTGGTCGCTGAATCCCTGCAGTACTTTAAGCCCTTCAACAATAGTTAACGCGGCATCGCAATAACGTAAGTCTCGCAAAGCGTCCCGTGCTCTTCCCCAAACACCGCTAGATATGCCTACCATTGCGTGGTCCGATTCTCTTTTATCCTATATGCCGGTGCAGGGGGACACCCTGGCCACCAGGCTAAGGGGGGTACCCTAAGCAACCGGTGTAAAGGGGACCCTGGCCGCCATTGCAGTGGGTACCCTGGCTGCCGGTATAGGTACCCTGGTAGTCGGTGTAGGGGGTACCTACACCCGGCCTACCGGGGCCATGCTGGCCTTTTGGTGCCAGCGACTTAGTCGCAGCGCTGAAGTCGCGGGCGCTGGGGCCTGTCGCAGTGAAACGAAGTACTACAGAATGGTGACAAGCCGCTCAGGTGGTCGCTAAAGCTGTCCGGTCGCTACTCAAGTGTTCGCTAGAACGGCCTCCTTAATGTATGCTGTCCAAATATAGGCTAAAGTTCTAGCCCAGACACGCATGTGGGCCTGCATAGATGTGGCACATGCCATGCCTTGCATTAACTACCAGAGAAATAGATTTTACCATCAATTCCATGGAAGAATTCAAAACATCGCGTGGCAATTTAAGTTGTTATTAATTAGCCATACAAATAACTACAAATAGTTGTCAAACATGAACAGTACTTGAATTGCCAAACTTATTTTGCTGGGACTGCAACCCGTTGTTTTTGTTGACTTGATGTACTTTCAGAATTCGCTTATCAGAAACGTACTCAGCGTTCTTCATGGCCGAAAATTTCAATAATGAATTCTTAAATACATAAAAGTCATATGAAACAACACAGCTGTAATAGTGAATTTGTTCAAATAAAAATTATATGAAGTAAAACTGTCTTGAATTTCCTGCGCCGCTGCATATCATCACGGCTTGTCACATTTTCTTTGTCTAAGGTGACCTTTTCTGATATGGCATCCAGGAAGTCAAGCTTGTCGACCATCACCTGAGACGCAAGGACAGCCTCAAAATTGAGGAGACGTTCTTCGATCACAGTCTCTGGAATGGTTCCCAATACATTTTCGACTACCTCATGCTCGGTGGCGCCAAGCTGGTGCGCAGCCTTGGGATTCCAGGCATGACGAACTGCAATTCAAACACAATGTCTCAAAGAAAAAAGAGAAACGGCTTAATCACTAAGAAAACGTGGCAAAAATACAGTGCCTCAAGAGTAAGTCAATCGAAAGAGGACGTTAATGGTACCGAAAACTGTCAATTTATATGGTTTTATGTTATGTTTTATGTGTTTAATGTGTTGTGTTTTACATTTTATGTTGTTTTGTGTACGTGGTTTATACCTGTTTTCAAAACAGGTAAAACAAAATTGAAGAGGTTGAATGACTTAACAAACGAAATATGAAAATATAAATGGAAATATTGAAACCATCTCGCAATCGTCTGCAACCCCGATCGCCGCTTGGTCTCCCCCGCACATCCGATCGCTGCGTGATCTCCCCCGCAGCTCGTGTCGCTGCTTGGTCTCCCCAGCAGCGCCGATGGCCGCGACCCCCCTTCACACCCCGAAACCCGTGGCGCCCTCCCAAAGGGATCGCCCTGTGGTCCGGTCTGGCGCCAGACCAGTGCCGGTACGGCGCCGGCCTGGAGCCGGCCGGTCACCGGTCTGGCAACGCGCCTAACGTACAGGGGCGGGCCAGGGGCCCCGCTTTTGTCACAAAGGACACCCTTTTGTCATTTTACCAACAGTAAATGGAAATATTAAAATTACCTTGGGGAAATTGAAAGGACACATTATTTAGAAGGGATTGTTGCACTCTCAGATTGGAGTACTTCAAAGTGCAAGAATAACTATGTGTTTTTCGGATTACATGCATGTATCTCTTTTTTCATCTCGTACTTTTATTTACATTTTTCATTTCATTTTTCTTTCATCTTTTCCTTGATGGCAACCAAGTAAAGCATTGAATTGTCAACCATTTCCCATTTAAGCGACCTAAGTTTTGATGATGTCACCTACTAAACCGACCAAAACCTGATTCTTTCATATGAATTTCGATTGCTTGCAGAACGCGGAAGAATTGGACAGAAAGATTCAAAATCCTCTTCGAAACCACCTGTTTTCCACCGCCGGCGAGGTGCGTCTTTGTCGTGGGATGGACGACGTTTTAAGTGCTGTTCATTTCCATGCGCTGCATGGGCTGACGAATTTCCGCCGCTTGATTCGTGCGCCAACGCAAGGAGGTTCAGATGCTTCTTAAATTTCTGGATTGAAGACAGAAAAAAACGCGATCTGTTTGTCTGAACCACTCTGAACACATCAGGCATAATGCGCTGAATTTCAACAGTTCCCGTTGTGACTTTGAATATTGAAGTATCAAATACAGAACTTGTAGAAATGTTATTTTGAGTAACTCGAGACCAGACTACATTGCCAAATGGGTACAATGTCATTATGTGAAATTGTCGCAACATGCACGTAAGCAAATTTCTTGTAAATTTAAGCATGAAAAGCAATGGCGGACGCAGCAGCATCCAAAACGTTCTTGCGCTTTCTCCATTGACAAGTTTTTCTCAGCCACTAAAACAAATCTGTCTTCAGAAAAGGGAAATGCGGCTATCATTCAACTTGCTTTGTTGTAAGTTGTCGTAGCAATGTGATGGACACATATGCATCCAAGGATTTTAAACTGTTGAAAGACAACAAATTTTATTGTCTCTTACCATGGTAAGGAAAAATGGCCAGTGTCTTATGCGCTCGGTGCTCGTCAGCGACGCATTTGCCTGTGCTTTCAGTATATGGGTGCAAAGTCCGCGATTAACAAAGACCAGGCAAATCGATCAATATTTTAATATAAAGCCTATCAATACATTTCCTTGCAATATCGGCCACCTCAGGGCGAAGTCGCGGGATTCGACCTCGCGGCAAGCAACATTCAGAGGGGCAGGGACCACGCCCTACCGTCCTACACGGCCGCCCGGAAAAACTTTCGCCTCCTGGTGCCGCGAAACTTCTATGAGTTGGGTCAGGTCCTGCAAAGCCCCCAGGACGCCAGGGATGTCGAGAAGTGCTACGGGCGCCGGAGTATCCACAACTTGGATGGTGAGTAGGGTGATAAAATTGTGGACTCCAGCGCTCCATGCCCTTTTTGTGATTTGCCAAAGCATGACCGACCACCACTCTTGCACCGGTAATGCAATGTCGTGCTTGTGCGCGCGGACATCAGCGGGTTTCAATGGTCTTCGCCGCCGCCGAGTTATGCTAAGTGCTGAGCCGCTGTCTTGCGACAGCGCAAATTCGTCTTGAGCATCGTTTCGCTGCTCCGCAATAAAGGCCTCGTATATTGCTCCAGAAGGCATGAACACTGTAGCAAACTTCAATGTGCCTAATCCTACATCGGTTCCTGTCTCACGACAGCAAAATACAAATTCGCTACATACACTGAACATAATCCACCGGGATTTTATTACTCATGCCAAATCACTGCCTTTCATGAGACAATAGGGAGTGGCGATATGGGACCATGAATAGTCGATTCCGAACATACTATCTGCTTGGTTTCCACGCCCATCATCGCCTAACAGGTGCACGGGCTGTGTTTCGTCATTTTGTGACAAATGCAATCCATGGATTTTGATGATGACGACAGCAAAAAGTGAGCTCATTAGAAAAATAGCTTGTTGAGATCATTTGCAACTGTGCAAACTAAGCCAAGCGAAATACTTTCGAACTGAAACCATAACATGCGCAATGTTTTGAAGATGACATTTTTTGACCAAAAAATACCTACAGCATTTCAAATGCGTCCAAAGAGAATTTTAAAATCAGTAGGCGACAATTAAAACACGAGCGTAATGGCGCAGCTTGGCCCATTGCCCTCATGGAGAAGAAGGTTCCGGGCAGCATGGTAGGGCCCCTTTTCTTCAGTGCCATCCGGGACCAGTTCACGCGCCTCCGGGACGGCGACCGATTCCACTACCTCAACCTAGACTTCCCATGCGCCGTGAAGAGCAAGTATCGACGCCTGAAGAGGGTGATGGAGGTAGCATGTCAGACGCGCACAACAGCGAATGTTGCATCCTGTGCTTTAGTTCTTCATAGAACTTCAGAAATTATTCATTGTTTTGATTGTTCATTACAATTTCGACAGAAACTTCAGATTTACTTCCTCCGTCTCAAAATAAACTGCAGTTATGATATGTGACACTGAAGTACGCAAAATGTCTCAGCTTCTCGTAACATTTTGCCACAATACTATAAAAGTACTACATTTTGATCATAATTTATGCTGCCAAAATGTTGAGTCAATCGGCTAAGTAGCAAATCTGCAGTGGCAGTTTGAACATACGCCTCTTGGCTGAAACACACCCGTTTCCAAGATGGCGCCGAAATCGCCCGTGTCGGTCCCAGGACCATGCCACGTTGCCGTGGCTCCCACCGCGCAAAGCGACGGGAGTCGAAGACCTGCTTTAGACTGCAGGTCGGAGTGCAGATGCAGAGGCGGAGGGCTGACCGCCAGCACATTCCGAAAGGTGTGATCGAAGATCTCGCCAGCAGATTCGAGGCTTCGTGCCGAACAATTGAGACCACTGGTGAACTCTTCCGTAATGCGATCGACGTTCCCCATGGCCATGGAATCAACTGGATCCGCCGATGGAAAATGAACTGCAAACATCCCAGCACACAGCAGGAGCAGCGTGTGGCGAGAGTAGAAAAGACCGCGCCACACAACCGGAGCACAATTCAGGGATTGGCGATGGAGGCAGGAAATGGGCGAGATGCTCGATCACCGCTTTCGGGACGGCCTGGCGTCCTGCCTTCCGCTTTTGCATCTCCACTCGGACCTGCTTTTGAAGTCCGTGCCGAAGTCCTGTTGCTTTGCATGGTGGAAATTAATTACTTTCATTAGTCATCCCTCATGGATGCTGGCGGTCAGAAATTTGCCAGGAAATACTCGCAGCGCTTTGTGTACCCCTTGTGTGGCAAATGTAAATATCTGGAAATTATAGAATGAATTTTTTCATAAGCTCGGGCGGATAACTCAGAATGAAATGAAACTTAGGTTTACCTGGAATAAACAAGTGAAAAGAAGTGAGACTCATGCTCCGTGACTTCTGCTTTCTGCCACGATTTGTAACTTCCGCAGTACATTGTTCTGACGCCGCAGGGTAAGGTCACTATGAAGGAAGTCTTTCTCAGGAATTTTGACCTGAAGGAAGATTCAAATGTTTTACGCAATCTGGTAAAGAACGTCCCATCCAGCATCTATCTAGCTCCAGGGACGGAATGCGACCCACCACTCACAATTCTCAAGGTGGGTTTTGAAGAATTTCAAGCGTTCAAAATACTCACGATTGATGATTGTAAAAAGTGCGAGGCATGAAACACCCATGTGGTTATTGTGAAATTCTATGTTTATTGCGAGGGCGAGACAAATAATGAATAATTATGAGGATCACGGTGTTAAATGAGGTGTGGGTTAAATTGGTAAACACGATTTTCAGTGCGGTGAAATTAATGTGGAGATATGGGGAATACGAATTGAGTATATTTTCAGTGAATGTTATATAAATGAAAAATCATTCTGCAGTCCATCCGATTACGGTCTTTCCCCCTGTGCCCAGGAGGAGCCATTTGTGAGGAGTGTGTTCTTAGTATCAGTCATGTTGTGAAGCAACGGCAAAACATTCATCATCATAATCATGATTTTTTTACAGAACAAAAACATTCACAGCCATGGCCCTCGCACAGTAGAAGAAAGCGACGGGTGTGAATGCACACAAGAATGATCCCAATGATTTGTTTGATGTCACGTGTACCCACTCTCATCATCTGTGATGGTCTTTAGAGCACTGGGCTCCATATGCTCCAAGAAAACAGCCAGGATGAGAATCGCATTTGCTGTGCGCGATGATCACTCTCTTTGAAACCTAAATCCAATTGCGTGGAAATAGATTTCGGACAAGAAAAACTAGACCTGCGCATGCAGGCTTCAACCTCCTACGCCGACTGCCCTCGTGGCGTTGACGAGGTGAGGCGATTTTTCTGGGACCGTCGCGTCAAGAGGCCCACGGCGTTCTACATCTGCGACCTGGACGATCGCCTTGTGGATGGTCGCAAAGGCTTCCGCCATTCAGAAGCGGCATACGATCGCTGCGGCAGTACGGCCTCGAACAGGTTGGTCCCGTGGGGCAACTTTGAATCTAACAGTCATGTAGTAAAATACGATGCAGGGATCCGTAGTTTGCTCTACTTAGCTGCAGCGGTTTCGGCAGGCAGGGCGTTTTATGCGCAAATCCGCGCTGTGTGAGACAATTCTGCTGTACACACACGCCTCATCTACGCGCCCTTAGGCGCCTTGACCTTCATCTTCGATCCTCTAAACTTGGCAATCTGTTGCAATTTTGTGTCTTTGTTTCAGTTGGTTTTCTTTTTTTGTCATGAGCAACAATTGAATCCCAAGAATGCAAACCCTCAACCCCACGAACTGGATACATTGAATGTATCTGAGCCCCAAAGTATTGCATTTTTCTGTGAGTGCGAAAATGCTGTTATTGCATATACTAAATATACTGCTATCCCGTATACTGAATATGGATGGTCAGTATATGGACGGTCAATATAATAAAGTTCAATGTACAGCACAGAGACCTGAACATATAATTGACCAGCAGTATACAGGATATTGAACATCCACGTCCTGGATGTGCACGAGTGGGTACATTATGGTCTACATTATGTCGCACCCAAAATATGGGAAGGATTTCTTTTCCCTGAGATGTATTGGTGGAAAGGTAAAGAGTCGTATACCCACACGCGGCAGCAAAGGGAAATATTATCATTCTTCAAGTGCAGTACAATAGTGTAGGAACATATTCCATGGAATGGACAAGAATTGGATGCTGTGTCGTTTCTGTACTAATTCATTAATTTGCAAAGCGTGTCTTTTGCATATGTGTATGGAGTCATCAAACATATAATTGGTGCGAAACATTTACTTCATGCTGAAGCATATGCTCAGGAGCATATATTCTATCGGACTATAGAATTATGGAAGTACTCTATTGCGCAAGTACTGCATTCCAAAATCTTGTACGGTGACTTCATTATATTGCAACATGTCATTGCAACAGTGAATGGGCTTGGCCATTGGTCAAACAAAGGGAGCAGGCTTTCATGCTAAAGCCCCAAACATGCCACAGAGTGAAATTAACAATGCCTTGCATAATTTATTAGTGATACCGAAATCCTCGCAAATGGGTTTCTTCCTAATTGGACTGAATATCGCCTTTGACCTTGCTTTCCTAAAGCTGTGTGGACCCAAAATGAGAATTGCGTTGCAGCAGCTCAATCAGAAGCTGATGAGGTTTCCTCAGGGTGACACTGAAACATACATAACGGTGAAAATACCTATTGCCAATTTTGGAGATTTGTACAGCAATGAAGACACTTGGTACAATGCGCAAAATGCAGCAATCGCGCGCCACTTGTTTTAACAATTGCTCCTCGGAATTCTGAGAACGCCTTTCTCTGCCAACCTTCTGACAGGAGCGTGTACCCGACGCGCATAAGCTACATTCGGAAGTACCCACACAACAAGGCCGAAAGCTACGGGAACATCGGATACAGCCAAGCGGACTATACAGCCTCCAACTACTATTACGACGCTTCCACGAAGAAAAGGCTAGGCCAGAAGCCATTCGAGGACAAATTTGGCGGCTCCATAAACGATGCCAACAACCAAAATTACGGCAATTTCTAGGTCAAAACCAAGTTATAGTTAGGATTATTATAACCTTTAAATTAAAGGGTTGGCCGATGAGCGAACGCGTGGGTGTGAGCACGGCGGCCACGGCGGGCACGTTGGCGGAAGCTGCCGCGGTGCTGCAGCGAAGCGGCGACGCCAGTGTTGAAACGCAGTTGGACCTGGTGTGGCTGAAAACCATGTCGCTAATGGACGTAATTTAGCGTGTCCAAACTGCGCGCATTCGCTGCTCGGCACATGCATCAACAGCGGCTCTGGAAGAGAGCCCTGCTGTTTGTCGCGCATTGCAGTGTGTGCGTGGACCTGTGGGCGGAACAACAACTATCTGTAGGTACCCATGCCGCGATCTCAAGAGGCTCCACGAAGTCAATTGTAAACTTTCTATTTCCCTTCTGGTAACGCTTTCCTTGTGTTCTTCTGTTCAACCAGATTATTCCTGTCTTCTCTGTCTGTTCTGCATCCATGCCACTAGGGAAAAAGGGCCAAATAACAAGTGTTCAAATGTGTACAAAATTTTACTGGTTTAAGTTATTTTCGTGTTTTCTGCATGCAAAGCTTGATGAAATGCGTATATATGTGTTTGAAAAAGAGTCATTTGGTCTTTCTTTGTGCTAGTGTGCCTTGTTGGGCCAATGCCCTGCTTTCCGCCACTCGAGGAGGAGTACATAGCAGGTTTGGCATATCTTCATGGGTAACAAACAAAAAATGAGGCATACCGAAAACTAATAAATCCTTCCGCACAGTTGCGTAACGCTTGACCATTTTTGTGGAGAAAATTTGCTAAAAGCGCAGAGTACAGCTTGTTATTTTGGCGAAGCAGCACAAAAATAAATAACGCGCTGAACAAAAATGCGGAACGAAAGGCGTAAAACCAAAATGTTTGATGCGGAAGGATTGAAGATTTTATGGTACATCCCAAGGTAATTCATGTGAGGCGTACCGGTCTAGAGGGATGCTGGGAATGAGCGGCATGGCCGTCGTGACCTGGTAATGGACTTGGGCTTTACGTCGTAAATATTTTCTATTTACAGCTATTCATGCAAAAAAATAGTTCTTACGTGTTTAAGCGCAAATGCGTAAAAAGGGGTCCTTCGTACCTAAAGACTGTTCACACCGACTCAGGGACTCCGGAGAGCGATAGATACGCTGAAATGTTCATAAACGAACTTGTTTTCGATGACATCTTTGCCTTTGCCGAGGACAAGGGGGGTGTTGTGGTGGCAGTGCTGGAAGGGGCGGAGGACTGACCGCTGACTGGAACATCATCTTGTAATCTGGGAATGTCAACGAGCCGTAAAATGCGTAAATATGGCCGCAAAATGGCCGTTTCTCTTTTTACGCATTTTACGCGTGAAAGCGAAAGCGAAGAAATGCAGCACAAAATTAAAGACCAAGCCTGCCTGGTACTAAGCAAACAATGCACGCACAGATCTGGTAGCATGACAGCGCACAGCATGGGAGACACCACGTGTCTGGATGAAGCGGTGGGATTGCGACCCGGGGTGCAATGACACGAGCAGCGCGTGTAGATTTCGAGATGCCATCCGTTCAAGTGACTGATTCCCCGGAGAAAACGGCCTTTCAGGCGGATTCTACGCTGTTTAACCGTCAGCCAGCACTGAATTTCGCCCTTTCCTACTGCCGCAGCAGAGCGCTGCCATTCTTGTGGGCATCTTACTGGGACGTTCATAGGATGTACCAAATACGGTGGTACCAAGTATGAGGGACTTGCCGTTTCAGTTTCCGCCCCAGCCAGGGCAGTTGTCAAATGCCTCAATTGAGACTTTCAGTTGACGTCCAGTGGGGTATTTTCTCAGATCTGCGTCACGCACGATCGTGCTTTCCCACCCTGTGACCGTTCAAGTGCGGCAAAAGTCGCAATTTAAAGGTATCTGTCATGAGGCCGCCACCTTGTTTTCAGCCAAATTGGCGTCCAATGCAGTAGCTGAAAATATGACAGCCATTAGGCTCAAGTCGCGCCCACCCAGTCGCATTGAAGGGTCCCCGGCGATGGTCAGCATCACATCTGATGACTTGTCGAGGGATGCCGAGCCAGCCTTCATTCGCGAGTCCCACAAATTGAATGTCAGCGAATGGCAGAAGCAGGCAGAATTTGTCTGTTCTCCACCTCATGGAGATCCCGAGGCACTTCTGATGGGACATGGGGTCGCATTACCTGATGACATGGATCATGGGAAGTCGGGTGTGATATGCATGAATCGTAGTCATCATCATCATCATGATTTTTTACAGAACAAGGCAATGAGGTAGCCATGAGGTAGCATGAATCGTAGTCACTGCTATGCTCGGGCAAAATAGGAAGCTGACGGCTACCACATTGCCTTGTGCTGTAAAAGCGAATGATGATGAAGATATGCATGAATGCGTGATAATTATGCAAACAATTAATGATGATGATGATGATGATGACGAATTCTGATGGTGACGGTGATGAAGTCGGGTGCACAAGTTGCAGAAACCAACCCTGGCAAGGACAGCGCTGCCCAGCGAGCCCCGGCTGCCCGCCCACAGGATGGCGACCTCCGGCGAGGGGCGTCCGTCATCAGAGCCAGGCGCGGACTCGGATACGGGCGGTGCGAGCTCCTCCAACCGCGGCGCCGCGCTCAACGATCTCATCCTCTGGCTACTCAGAGACGGCCGCGTGGCCAACCTGGTGGCCCTGGCCGTCGCCAACGCGCTGGTGGCGGGGGGGATTCGAAGCGTGGAAGCGCTGCATGCCGCCAAGGCCGACCGCATCCGCGCCTGCCTTCCAGATGCGGGCATGCGCAGGGTGGTGGGCCGTGCTCTGAGCCGATCCCGCAAGCAGCAACAAGACCGCGCGGAAAAGGGGAACACGGAAAGCGTAGTTTGTCAGAAAAATGAGTGCATGGAAAATGGGGATTGTCAGAGAGAGGATGGTGCGGAAAAAAGGGGCGCAGAAAACGTGGGTTTTCAGGGAAAAGAGAGCGCAGAAAATGGGGATGCTCAGAAGAGAGAGCGAACGGAAAATGGGGCTGAGGAAGGGGTGGTTAGGAGCGCGAAGAGGCGGCGGAAGGCGCAGGACGGGGGCAGGAAGGCGGATGGTCCGCCCAAGGGGACCGGGGACAGGGGGCCAATTCGAGTGAATCGGTCTCCGGTGCTGATCTTGTGGGCGGCTGTCGCGGGGGAGCGGCTGGGGATGGACTGGAGCGAGGCGCTGTCGGTGGGGGGAGGTGTGGCGTCGGTGTGCGCCCAGGCCAAAGGCAGGCGGCTGGGACTCAAGCATGGGGGTGAGGGGCCTATTGACGGGAGCCAAGGGCAAGGGCAAGCTCAAATTCGCATTCTGGGAATTGAGATTGTCGTGAGGGAGACGGGGGAGGGGCTCAGGGCGGTGGATGGGGATGGCGTGGTGCAGCCGAGGTATGTTTATGATCGGCTGAGAAGGGCCTTTGGGGAGAGATTTGGGGATGTTTACGAGGTGATGATGGGTTTGGCTGGGGCATTGGACTCTGGGGAGCTTGAGGGCAGGAGGGGGTTTGAAATGTATGAGAGATTCAGGCCGGGCGTGCCGGAGGGCCGGGCGGGGTGGGGCGCGGCCGGGGAGCTGAGCCTGGAGGAGGTGGGGAGGATGGCGGGGGAGCAGGAGGGCAGGATGCTGGAGGAGGCGGAGGGGAGGGTGGCCGCAGCGGTGGCCAGCAGGAAGGACGGTGCGACGGTTGGGGAAGTGGCGGTAGAGGTGCGGATGGATGTGGGCGTGGTGGGGCGGTGCCTTGAGGGTCTGCAGGCCAGGGGGGAGGTGTACTGCAGCCAGGACAGGTTCATGGTGCTGTAGGGCGGGAAATGTGGTGTGGGCGAGTGGAATTTTGGCGCTCTGTGGCTCTCATCATTGCTGGCTTGTTAAAGGGGGTGGCTGAGGAATGTTGGGACCGGAGTTTTGTTTTGCTCCGCAATCAGATTTGTAAAATAGGAGGTGCCGGTTGTTGTTATGCAGTGGCTGGAGTCTGACGCCACAGTCACTCAAATTTGGTGACCAGGGTGGGCCCACTGCCTTGAGAGGCGCTGCACCCGCCCTGGTCTTTTTCAGGATTGTTGCAATTAAGAATACCTGAATTGGATGATCGCGTCTGGCACATTGGTATGTGCACTGTGTTACCTTCAGGAACAGCTGGCAACATAATATGCAACAGGGCATCAACGTCACCGACATAAGAATCCAGGACATCTGCTCATTCAATTGGTGTCGATTTTTTGGTTGAATATGCCATTCCTGTCCACAGGCTTGCCGGTCAGGGGTTGGTCAGTTGTCTATGCAGCAATCTCTCGCATCGTTGCAGATTTGAAGACATTTATCTCAACGCATCATCGATATAGCTTTCCCATTGGACAGCTGCTTCTCAAAACCGCGCCATCATGCCTGAAGCAAAAGGAAAATAGGGACCCCAAGGCCTCACCCAATGCACACCTCCTCACTGGACACGCTGTTTTGCCTTTGTGTGTATCAGAGCTTCCAACCACAGCGGCCCAAAACGGTGGAAAAGTAGGATCTTTGTCAACCCGCAACGACATTGGAAACCTTGCACGCCTTCTCACTTCCTGATTTCTGGTTTTCTGGACTGATTGATATTGATATTGCAATTCACGAATGCGCAAACACGTTTTGCTTGTGCCGCCGCTCGCCAGCTGGCGAGAACCCTTCTTTCCATGCATCACCATCGACGAACGCCTCGTGGTAATAGGAATTGATGGATTTCTGGACTTGTTTATGTTACACATTGGATTTCAACAAACATGTCATGGACACTGCTTTGCTCGGGCAAAATAGGAAGCTGACGGCTACATCATTGTCTTGTCATGTGACAATGAATGATGGCAGTCAAGGGAGGAGGAGGAAAAGTACGGGTGCAGCTTCGTCGACTGGCAACGACAGACGACTTCCGGATGCGTGCCTGCGCGCTTCTCTATTTCTTGACCGATTGATGGACATTGATTGGTACAGGGCGGCCATTTTCATCCGTCCGCGTGGGCCCCCCGGCCCACCCCAACCTCGGACCGGGCCCCCCGCCGGCGCCGGTCCCGTCCATCGGCCTCCGCCCCCTTCCCACCCCCCCGGCCCGCGTTGCTGGCATCGAAAGACTCTCCGCCCACCCAGCCTCACGCCCTCCTCGCCCCTCCACTACCCGCCGCTCGAAAAGGCCAAGCTTCTCGCGAAAGCGCGACGAGAGGATCTCAGGCGATTGCGCCAAGGCCAGGGGCCCTTGCCAGGAGGAGGGAAGAGCAGGCGGAAGGGGGAGCGCAGCGAAGGACAGGGGCCAACCGAGCGGAGGCGCAGCGCGACGGGTTCAGTCATGGCGTCACCCGCTGGAGACGGCAACCTGTACCCGATCGCGATTTTGATGTGAGCGCCCCGCGGCGGGCTGGCTTGGGGTGGGGTAAAATCTTTTGGGGGCCATGGCTGCCAGGAGTGGTCGCGGTTGGGTGGGGGAAAGGGGGGGGGGGAAATGAGGGGACGGCGCGGGAGGTGGGCGATTCACTGAGTGGGCCTCCGTGGCTGGTTTTGTGTTTTGTTATGTTTCCTGGCGCTGCGGATTCCGCCCTGCCGCGGCCGGTCCGTGGGCTGCGCGGCCGTCCGCGCGGGTGGCCATCGGTCGGCCGGATTTGCCTTCGCCGCAGCGACGGCGCATTCGCCGACGCCCCCCCCTGCGCCCTTGCGAGTCGCGCGACGGCTCCTAACCTGGGCCGATCGCCGCCCCGCCGCAGAGACGAGCTGAAGAACGAGGATGTGGCCGTGCGGCTCAACTCGATCAAGCGCGTGACCACGATCGCCCGGGCCCTGGGCGAGGAGCGCACGCGCAAGGAGCTCATCCCATTCCTCAACGACTGCGGCGACGATGAGGACGAGGTCCTGCTGGCGATGGCCGAAGAGCTGGGGGACTTCGTGCAGTACGTGGGTGGGCCGGCGCACGGCCACGAGGTGCTTGTGCCCCTGGAGACGCTGGCCACGGTGGAGGAGACGGTGGTGAGGGACAGGGCCGTGGAGTCGCTGTGCAAGGTGGTGGCGGAGCTGCCGGAGGCCAGCGTGACGGACTACTTCTCGCCGCTGATCAAGGTGAGGGGCCGCCATGGCCGAAATTCCTTCGCCGTTTGAGGTTACCTTCGACGTGAAGGAGCCCCGCCATTCGAAGTTCTTTGTTTGCAATGGACTTCAGAAGACGGGGCTCGTTTTTGACACTCTCTGTTTGGAAGTGCCGTTGGAGGACAGGGCTTGTTTTCTGCGAACGCCTCTGTTTGAATTTGCCTCCAAAGTGCGAGGCTCCGCTTGGGCGGAATCCTCTGTCTGGAATTGCAGTCCAGAGACAGGGATAGCTTTCGGCGAAGTTACTTGTTTAGAATTGCCGTGGAAGACCAAGCTCTTTTGGGGCGAAGTTCGTTGTTTGGGTTTGCCTTCGGAAGACAGAGCTCGTTGTGGGGCCGGATTGGATGCCTGCCCGTTTTGGGATCTCGAATACATGCCAGCTTGCCAGGTCGGCAGGGGTGGTTGGCGGGGAGGCTTTAGGCGGAAGGGATCGGAGGGCCAAGGGGGACACTTGGCAAGGCTGCATGGGGTGGTGGTTGGACTGGCGGTGGGGAAGGCCCAGTCGCAGCCCAAGTGTGCAGCTGCTCCCTTTTGGGTGGACAAGGGGCTTTGGTGGCTGGATTTGGAGACAGCTCCACTTGGGGCCTGGAAGTGTTGGCTGTGTTTCACAACTTGCAAATGCAGCCATTTGCAGCTTGTGGTACGCTGCCCAGCAAACCAGCAATGGCTTTGTTGATATCTGCGTCTGTTCATCTCCATGGTTTTGGCTGCAGCATGTGCTGCTGTGGCAGGGTTTGGACAACTGTGCTTCATAAGGTACCAAACAGCAGTCCTGGACTTCATCACGCGAGACCCGCTCACCAGCCTTGGCTGTCAGTGCAGTGCACCTCCACCCAAAAATCACAGATTCCCGCGCAGGCCTGTCGCCCACCAAGGAGCATCGATGCCAGCTTTCTGTCACTCGATCAAGTGACCAACAGCCTGGAGTTAAAAACAGGAAGATTTGGGACGCAGGGGGCACGGCCTCAGTAGTGTTCTATCTCAATGCTGCTCTACAGACTGGCCATGCCAGAACTCACCATCGCCAAATAGCGTGCTCTCTGTTCCAATTAGAAGCCATTGTCTGACCATCCGAATGCTGAAACTATGTGGCCAGCCAACTTGACTTGTTCTTGCTCTGTTCACCAGTTCATTGATGTTGTTTGCAGCTGCTGTGTAACTCCTGCCTGGAACCAGCCTTGATCGAAGTGGCTGCCTGTCCTGAAGTTTCAGCCTGCAGGCAGACTCTCTGCCCTATTTTTCCTGGTCCTCCCCCCCTGCTCTTCCCCTCTGTCCTGTCTTTTCAGCCGATTCTCCTACTTTTAAATGGCGTCCTCAAGAGGCTGCCTGTGACCATCAGTGCATCAATTTCTTGGCAACAACCCTGCAAGGTATTACGATTACTCGTCCTCAGCATCTTTCTGTGTGACATTGCCAGCTTCCCTCAATCTGACAATTTGTCTGCTCCTGCCCCCACACAGAGGCTGTCGGCAGGCGAGTGGTTCACTGCCCGGGTGTCTGCGTGTGGCCTGTTTGCCGCTGCCTATGCAAAGGCGAAGGTGCAGGTGAAGTCTGAACTGCGGTCCACATTTGAGCAGCTCTGCCACGATGAGACGCCCATGGTACGGAGGGCGGCCGCTCAGAACATGGGAAAGTTTGTGGAGTCTGTCGAGACAGCATACGCCAGCAGCGACCTCTTCCCGCTGTTCAACCGTCTTGTTGCCGATGGTGAGCATTCTGGCAGACTACCCACAGCAGGATTGTTGAAAGGCACTGTCGGCATATTCTCAAATCAACATCTACCATCAGCAGCCCCTCCTGAGGAGCTCCAGCAGGCACCTGCGGCACTGTGCTAAACCTTTAAACATGTCCCCCCTGAACGCAATGCACCGATGAATGGGGCTGCAAGAGAAAGCATAGCATTTAGTAAACACTAGCACGAGTGTGACAAGCTGTTCCCAACTGAGTTCATGCGATTGGTGCTGTTGGCGATGGTGAGCTGCTGGGTGTGCATCCCTGGCTGCAGCAGCACCGTGCTGGAGCTTGGAATGCTTTCACATAAACCTTCAAGATTCGAAGCACTATTGCAGCACAACATGACGTGTTGTGCTATTGCTTTGCCAGACCAGCAGTGCTGGATCGCAGACCAGCACAGCATGCCATTCTGCCCATTGCATGAGCCTATCCAGCTGGAGACGTTGATTGTGATTTTGCAATGTCTTGCCACCGAAATGGTACCAGCTTGCCACACTTCAGTGGCTGAATCACCCCATATTGTGCACAGATCAAGATTCAGTGCGGCTGCTGGCTGTGGAGGCCTGTGGGCCATTCGCCCGCCAGCTGAGCGAAGATGATATAATGCAGATGCTGCTGCCAGTTGTGAAACGAGTAGCTCAGGTGAGATGCGAAATATTGGGACCCAGCTTGGCGTTGCTTTTGGCCATTTTCGCTTGAGGCTGTCAGTGTTAGTGCCAGTCTGACCTAGTTGGACTCTTGTGGACCCAGAAGTGTGTTTTGCATTCTGTTGTGTGTCTTATTTCGTCCCTTCAGTGTTATCCCATTGTCTGTGCTGTCGTGCTGGTGCTACTTTTGGGGTTATCACCATTATCATTGCTGATCTTATGCTGAGCACATGCCAGTCCTGGTACAAAAGTGCTGATATATGTACGTGTTGTTAATCCATGCAGGACAAATCTTGGCGAGTGCGGTACAATGTTGCAGATCAGCTGTGCCAGCTGGTGAAGGCGCTCCCAGTGGAAGTTACAAGGTGTGTGTCTCTGCTGCAGGGCTCTGTGCATGTCAGTGCATGTGGGCCTCTTTGAGTGTTGCTGTCTCCTGTCACACCACTTTGACAGGATTTTCGGTGAATCGAGTGTTTCTGTCTGGGGCCCAGCAAGGCAGGCTGTCCGATTTAGAGTCCAAACATACACTCATTGAAGGGTTGGAGGGTGCCGAACAACACTTGTGTGGGACCAGCCATGGGCCAAAAAAGTTTGCGATGCAGTCTGCAAAACCATCTGTACATTGAAGAATTCCCCAATGCAGCCAAGAAAGAGCAGGGGTCCTGTTGTTTGTGTGCACATGTGAGAACAACTGGTGGGATTGAAGAGAACAGAAGGCTATCTGTTGGGCTGCACTGCATCGCACCACCCAGCAAGCACTCTCACTCATTTTTGTCATTACGCGGGAGTTAAGGTGTTTTTGCCAAGAGTTGTGCTGCCATCTGTAGTCCCCTAGAAAACTGACACTGTCTGACGATTTTGGTTTAGTAGAGACATGTGACTTGACCTATGGTCGTAGTTTGCCAGTGCCATTAAGGAAACTGTCACTCACTCATTCTCCATCCTGGACAAAAGGTTGAGAGTTTTTAATCATGTAAAAGATGTTGCAGTGCAGTAAGAACACCACAACACAGAATTCTTGATTGACATGCAGGCAACTGGTGAAAATATCCTCACGACATGTTTTCGATGTCACAATTTGTCAAATTCAACTCTATTGGTTTTCAGCAATTCAGCATGGTTCCAACAGAGGATTTGTAATTATCCTCATGGCCATAGTGTAGGTTGACTTTCAGGTCATGGAATCTGTCCGCAGAACTTAGCTGAGCCTCCTTGCATTTTGTGCTTGGCAACACAAAGTCAAGTTCATGACACCATTGGTGTCAACTCAAAGAATCGATGCTGCTGCACAGCATTGGACTCCTCAATAGAAAAACTGAACCAACTGTGAAAAGGCACATCAGGGCCTTGGAGCTCTGCAGATCGAGATACAGAATTGTTTGTTTCTTTGAGCAGTTCCTTATTTTCTTTGTCATGCAGTTACTCTTTCGTTGTCATGAGGTATATTGTTTACTTGTAAATGTTTCTTTTGTTTCTTCCAGGGTGGAGTTGGTGCCCCTCTTCGTGTCACTCCTGAATGACTCAGAGGCGGAGGTCAGGGTGGCAGCCTCGGGCAAGGTGTCCCAATTTAGCAAGAAGCTGGAGTCCGCGACGATCGGAAAGCACATCATACCCTGCATGAAGGAGCTGGCACAGGACTCCTCACAGTACGTGCGCGCCTCTCTGGCGTCTGTCGTGATGGAGATTGCACCCCTGCTGGGGAAGCAGGGGACCATTGAGCACCTTGTGCCAACGTTCCTGACGCTGCTTAAAGACATCTACCCTGAAGTGCGGCTGAACGTGATCAGCAAGCTAGACCAAGTCAACCAGGTGGGGTGCAACAAGGCCCGGACAGAATGGAGCGAGAGCTGACAATCATTGCATTAACTTGTGGCTTGCTGTGTGTACATCGTTGTGACTGCTGATTTCCAATTCGTTGTCCAAAGTGATGAATCGCTATCTTTTAGTGCATAGGGGCACTCTCAGTATGGAATGAAATGTGAGTGCATTCGTTGCAGTGCTAAGAGTTTAGTTGATACATTGACAACAGCCATCTGAAGAATCATAATCAACAATCATCCAGGGGAAATTGTCAAAATGTATTCACAAGTATACTATCGGTGCTGTAAGTGGGTGCCCTCTGTTCAATTGAATGGAGTGAAACGCTGGTTGGAATGATGTGTTTGGGACCCTTGCCACAGAGGTTGTTGAGAACTCATGTACACCATTTGTTTGAATGCAGCAGAATGCTGCTCTTGCCTATTTAGGGGATGATGAGCATGGTGATCAAGGAGTGGTTGTGCTGCCTAGCAACCTTTTCCTCAGATGATAGTACATGGATGCTCTTGGTCCTCGTTGCTGAAGTTTTTGTCTTAAGTTGTAGCATAGGCTACATGAAAGTGGCTAATCGGATGCTGTCTAGGCTTGTCACTTGGCGTGTGAGATGCTGCCTGGCCTTTACTGATGGCAATCAGCAGGCATGCTGACTGTCAGTGTGGAGTTGATCTAAGATGTCTTGACTGGACAGATGCCTTCAAACACAGGTGCTCTATGCCTTTTCACAGTTTCGCTCAGGACAGGGTTGCCCATGCTGTGGCATAGTCACTTCCATCGAAAAGAGGATTGTTGACTGATGTGCTTGGCAGCTTCATGGGCACTCTGTTAGCTGTCTGTTGTAACTGCATTGTAAGCTGTTGCCTGAAAGAAATTCTTTATCAGTTCTTGCTGTGGGGTGGAGGTTGCACTGAAGGCTATAACGTTGCCGCAACCACGAGCAAAAGACAGTGCGAATGGAGCACTAAAAACTGCAGACTAGTGGATTGGTTGGGGGAGAACTTCAAGAGACCACAGGTAACCGGATGCCATTGGGTCCTGCAGGTAATCGGCATCGACCTGTTGGCGCAAAGCCTGTTGCCGGCGATCGAGGAGCTGTCTGAGGACAAGCACTGGAGGGTGCGGCTGGCTATCATTCAGCACATCCCGCTGCTGGCAGGGCAGCTGGGTGCAGACTTCTTCCAGGACAAGCTTGGGACACAGTGCCTCAAGTGGCTGGAGGACCAGGTGGCGTCGATCCGCGAGGCGGCCACCACAACGCTGATGAAGATCGCACAGGAGTTTGGCCCGGACTGGGCAAGGGACAACCTTGTGCCCAGGGTGAGGGGGCCGGCCATGACAACTTGGTGGAAATGCTCTGTGTCCATTATTGTTGTTCTCATTTGCTTTGTGCTTCCTCTGTCCCATAATCATTGTCATCTATGACTTTGGTGCAACAGTTCTCCATTGCAAGAATTTCCAGATGGACCAAACTTTGTGCAAAGTTATTTTCATCAGTTTGGAGTAAGACAGAAAAGTCAAGTCATTTCGTTGAGTATTATGGATTTGGCACCATGTCGTAGCAAGACTCCTCTCCCTAGTAACCTTTGAAGCTTTCGATCAAAATGGACCAAAGTTTACCATTCGCCCAACACTTGAGGAGGTTGGAACTCACTTTTGTCTGCTTGACGATTGGTAGTCAACGGTGTTGAGACGTAATCTTTCCAATTCTGGCCACTTGTTGTAGTTCAGAAGCCGTTTATGTAACGAAATTTCTCTTTCAAATGGACGAAAACTAATATGGGACAGAGGAAGCACAGTATACATTTTGTCACTATGTTATAGCTGTTAAGCGTACCCCCTTATGACTTGATTTCATCCATTCTTTGTTCCCTTGATGGCGGCAAGCTCCCTTACTTTTGCTGATTTTAGACAAGACAGCTTTGTTTGCTTTGGTTGCAGGCAACATGGTAGGTGGACGTTTGCATATCATTCCCGGGCTTTTGTCTGACAAAAAGTTGTGGGGCCAGGCAGTTCTCACCACACACGAGCTATTGAGTTTGATTTATTGGCAGGTCTCCTCTGCTGGAAGCACCAGTTTGGCTTGTTTATGATCGGTTCAATATTCAACAAATCGCATGCTTTTTTGCGCTTTGAAAGAGCTGTGTGTTTTCGATGGCATTGCGGGTTCGATGGTTTCACCATGCCCCCTGCAGTGAGTCTTACCCATACTGAGGCTTCCTTAAAACACTTGAATTCTGGATTCTCCAGCCAGGTTCTGGCCAAGCTGGAGAGCATGCGCTGCCCTTGACACACAGCTCGACCTGTGCGTCGAGATACACCGTTCCAGTTTTCTTTCATGGGCAGTGCCATGGATTGCATGCGTCAAGGAAGACTTACCTACCAGGCCCTGGCCCTCTGTGTCCCACAGACACCGAATCAGCATTTCAATACAATTTAGGAAATGGTGGCTCAAGGCTTGGTAATTTATGGCACTTGCTTCGAGCAGTGTTCCTGATGGAGTATTTTTTTCCTGCCTTCGACGCCAAACCTCCCTTGTCCCCTGTTGCAGGTCCTGGACATGGTGCAGAGCCGGCACTACCTGTACCGCATGACCATCCTCACGGCCATCGCCCAACTTGCTGTGGTCGTCAGCGCTGACGTCGTGCACTCCACAATGCTTCCCGCCGTCATCGACTGCGCCAAGGACCGCGTGCCCAATGTCAAGTTCAGCGTGGCCCGCCAGCTGGAGCGCCTCGTGCAGGAGTCGGTGATCGACCGCGCTGCCGTCACCTCCGTGGTGAAGCCCTGCCTGCAGGAGCTGTGCGAGGACAGCGACGTGGACGTGCGGTTCTTTGCGGGCCAGGCCCTGGTGGCAGTGGAGGCGACGCTGGCCGGGTGAGCATCGAGTTCAGTGCTTCCCCTCTCAAATAGAAAGCTGACGGCTACCTCATTGCCTTGGTATAATGATGAAAGGCTTGCCTCTTTATTCAGCACATTGTAGCCTAGCACATTGTCCCTTTTCAGCTGAGTACCGACCCTGGCCATGTGGGCGTGGGCTGGCACCTCGTCGCCCGCCGCCTCCCGCTGGGAGGGCATTGTGCTGAGTGCTTAGTGCCTTCTTTTGCCAACCACTTCCTCCTTTCCTTGTGTTTGGTCCTTGGCGTGAGTGCTTGGATTCTTCAGTACTTTTACGTTATTTTGTTTTGTACTCTGTGTTTAGCACTGTTGTGGCCTTGTACCTGCTTTGCCAAAAAGGGCACCATTGGTCATCATAGACTACAGGCGCTGTGGCACCGTCGATTGTTCTTTGGACGATTGTTGGTTGAATTCGATCTGATGTTTCGATTTCGTCGGCACATTATTTGGGATACACGTGCCGTGACCACTGCTGCTCACTGTTGTTGTCAAGCACGAGTGAGTGAATCATGCAGGCAAGAAGCCGACCCACTGCAATGTCCACGCATCCTAGCTTGTAGATTCAGGTTAGTTTACAGTTTGCTGTTGGAAGGTTCTTGATTGCATCAAGACCGTCTGACCATTGATAAAGAATAACTTTGAAACGGGTATGTTGGTGGACCAGTCCCTCCAAGGCTAGTACATAAAACCCTTTGGGACGAAAGGGGCTCGAGGCTTGCTAATTCGGCCGTGTGCGTTGCATTACTGCCACCCGATTGTCTTCGAATATGTGACAGAATAATCGATGACACAGTTGTCCATTTATGTTGAAGGCATGAGTTGAAGCCGTGGATTGAATGTGTATGAAACCCAGGTAATTCGAGACGGTGAGCTCCAGCTCGATGGCATTGGGGAGTCGGGAGGCAGAGCGGCAGTTGCACAAGTCTGCTGGATCAAGAGCCCAGCCGGGCTGCGGGTTGTCAGTCAGGGTGCGTGCCGCCATTGATCTGGGTTCCCAGGTGGGTCGCGATGGGTGGGCGAATGCTGTTCGCGTGTTGCGTTGGAGGGTTTGGTGTCAGGGGTGACAGGGTAGTGGCGACGGCAATCATGGAGCGATGCTTGTGGCCGGATGGAAGCCCTCTCAGCCCAGCCCTCGGACCGGGGCGGGAAGAGCTGTGGGTTTGTGGTCCACTACGGAGTGCATGTTTGTCAGAGGGGCCCTGCATGAGTTGGAAGGGTGCGTCGGGACAGGAGTGTGAGAGAAGTGTGCAGCCCTGCTTAGTTTGTCCGTTTTGGGGGCTCCCTCGCCCAGCGTGGCCCTGTGGAAGATCGCTGCGAGTGAATGTGCGGACTTGGTTGGAATCACTGGTCATGCGCAGTGGTCCATGTCGGCTCGTGTGTGCAGCCCTGCCTGCTTTCTGTTGACTGGGCCAGCACAGGGCCGAAACCTGTGTAGGTGGGGCCCCCGTTGTAGTTTAGTTAGGGTTCGCTGCTGAGTGTGGCGTTGCGTTGCGGAACCTCATCGACGAGTCTGAACACAGAGGAAGGCGGCAGCAGATTTTTTGTCTGTTTCGAACATGGAAGACAGTCCATTGTGCTTTTTTGGCAAAGCTTATAAACACTATCTATGGCTGCGGATTCGGTGACAGTCAAGTTGTGTGTAGTATGGCTGTGCGCCCCCCAGGCATTGTGAACGCCAGATTCTGGATGGTGATATCGGCATAAGGGTTTTTTGTTTGCCTTTCCCAAGGTGTCCTGTGTTCACAGATGGGTTTCTATTTCCTCTTGGATTGTGTGGAGTTAAAATGAGATCCACAACGCCATGCAATGCGCCACCATTTTTCGGCGCACGGCACCGAGCAGTGGGCAACAAACCTCCAGCGCAAAGGCAGCCACAAAGGCGACATGAACCAGAGTGCACGTATGTGCTTATCAGGCTTTGTCTGTGTGTGATATACATGTCACAACCAGCCCCTTTGTCACGAAAGGGTGCAGACTGTTCCCCTTGCCTTGTCAGGTCATGTCAACCAGCTCATCTCACAATGCCTGACTTAGCTCCTTGTCCTGAGGACTTGCTACTCAGCACCTCCAAGTTTTCTTGCAGCTAACCATTCCGGGTAACGGCTGGTTCAGATGGCTGCTCAGGAGTGCATAGGGTGATTAATGTCTTCAGCCAACCTTCCCTCGAGTGAAGATTGTTAAGTTCTCCAAGAACTCCGCTTCCCTTTTTCTCACTCTCAAGGTCCGCAGTTTGTATCCCATGGTTGGGAATCTTTCCTTAATCTGCTTTTCTCTTTGTCTCTTAATAGTGGCTTACTTGGGCCATCCCGTGCAACGTACACCATGCATATGGTGGGTTCCTACCTCTAGTCAAAGGCCTAATGGATCCAGCCAGAAAAACTGTGGAACGAACAAGCTTGCTGGGTGCTTGATTGACAGAAAGTGACAGAAACCGCAACACACTCACTGCAACACAAAGCCAATTGAAACCTGCCTTAATGATCGAATGTACAGCCCGCCTACGCTACAACGAACCCTGATGAGCCGGAAAAATCGGGCGGCACGTGACGTCCATACTACCATTTCTACCAACTATCATGCGCACCACCTTGCACTGCACCGTTCACTCGGTCCCGTCCAACAAAATAGGACGATGACACACGCCTTCGGCACGATTTCGGCACCCACAAGGTCCGCAAAGCTGGTAGGGCGGCCAAAGACAGCCTGCCACTTGGGCACATCAAGCTCTGTGCCTTTTGCAGCAAAGTGCACCAGGTATGCAAAAGATCCGCCCGGCGCTTGGGCCCCTGGAGCCATTTGCCTGCCACGGCTACCTGAACGACACATGTGCTGGCAATCGGATCTTCGCCCGATTGCGCACAGGGGGTTCTGGCCATTGGCGCATTCTGTTGGCGACAACGCGGGGGAATGCTTCCTCACGACTTCGTTTCGTCCTCGCACCGCTTGGCCATAGTGTACACCACAACAGGCAGAACTTCATTCATCCTGAAGAACAGCAATGCGACAATCAGTAAGCGACCCGCGCCAACAGCGACGCCCAACCGGTGCAACTACTGACTTGTCATGCCTTTCAACATCGCAGCCATTGGGGACCATGGGGCGTGCCAGAGGCACAAACGGAATCAAAACTACAAAGAAATTGACATTGGCATTAATCACGGGATGGTCAATGAGACATGATAGAGACTGACCATTTCAGACAACTTCGTTCTGTTTTCAGATCATCAAAACTGCTGAAAATCGTGGGTAAACTATGCTTTGTACCGCATGTTACCCTCCAGCATAGCGTCAAAACGGTTTCCAAAAAAGAAACATAGAAACGATGCTCTTGCAAAGAACTGTAAAAGCAACGGCCGGTCAAGAAAGCGACGCCAGAAGTTCTGAAGCACCAGCCCTGGAAGCGCTCGGGTGCAACATGTTGCCCACCCAGCCCTTCGCCACCACAAACTCACCCCTGACCCACACCCTTTCCCTTCACTTTCTTTAGAATGCAAGGGGCTGCTGAGACGTGCACCTGGAGACATTGAACGCTGTTCTGTTGCCGCAATTGAAGAACATGGTGTGAGCAGGAAAGACGCACAGCCACCAACACTACCTTTCTGGTTTGCCATCGCTTGTGTTGGTTTGCGTCCACGACAATGCCCTTCCCCAATCCCCCCCCCCCCCCCTTTCTGCCTCTCCCAACCCTCTGGAGGCCACACAGAGCGAAAAGAAACGGGGCAACGCCGATTGGGCAAATAGCCGAAGACCAAACCCCTCTAAAACTATCAAATAAATGCTGATGGTGCAAAATGCTGATGGGCTAAATACAGTGTGACAGATTCGCGCTTAATGCAGACCGCGTCAGGCAATTGTACCCTGTTCTCTGGCACCATTTGCGACCAGCAGCATGGCAAAGTGACGTGATTAAGGCCAAAAGATGAAGCGCAACGACAACTGCAGGAGCATGAGGCGCCACTGGGCCGTTTGTCGGGGGACTGCAACAGCCAATGGAAGCGACAAGCTTGCAGGAAATGCGTAAACGAAAGGATTGCCCCACCTGTCGAGGAGGAATGCAGCCACTGTCAGGACAGCAACCAGTGACCAGGTGAGCTCGGGGACTTCCGCGAAGAGCCTCTCCGGCACCGTTTGAATCACCAAATCCCGCAACATGCCCAAGATCCTGGACGGGAGACAAGTCCCCAGGGGTTACAACAACAGACTTGGGAATCATCTAGATGCGGTGCAGCAGTTCAGCGATTCAGCACCGAAAGCAGCAGCATCCTCCCCATGTGAAACAAATGTCCCCGACGAAAAGAGCCAGAGCAGCGATGATGATTGTATTTCCTAAGGGCACGTACGCATTTCACATGCCGACCAAAACCCTCCTTAGGGACAATTTGACGACACCCTTCTCCGCACTCCAGGAAACAATGCAGAAGTATCTGAGGGCAACTGTTGCACTTTCAGAAAATGCTGTAAGCAGGTACTGCTAAGCACTGAGCCTGGCACCGCTTTTCCGCTGCCTCTTTTACACTGTTACCCTGATACAAGGTTACCCTGTAACAGGGTTTCAGTGTAGCACACTGTCCGTTACAGACAAGCCTTCAGCACAGCAAAGCCAAGGGAAGGAAGGTGTGCATGGGAGTGGACGCACTTTGGAGTGGCAAAGAGGAAGATGAAAGGAAGGTAGAGGCCAGGCCGCAGGGGCTCCACAAGCTGTTTGGAGCGGTCCAGGGCCGTCTTAAATGTCTCGCCTGCGCATTCCAGAGATGAACAACAATGCCTTGGGAATGGCCATTTGTCAACATACGACATACCTCATAACTTATCACCAATTAATCGCCATTTAATTGTCACTTAATTGACATGCTCTTTGGTATCCGTGCTCTACTTTCTCACCTGTTGTTTTACGTATGCCACACCTTCCACGCACAACAGCAACATTGCTACAAGGCAGCGCGCATGCTTCAAGTCATACTTCGCCAGCGTTGTCAGAGGTGGACACATTAGGGTGTTGCGCAGCCAAAGACTGGCAACTAAAACTTGTGCAGCAGTAGCTTAGCGAATTTTCATCATCAAAAGGGTCTGGGGGCCAGTGGACCCGCCCTTGAGCACACCTTGTTGCACCTGGTCTGTGCAGGTGCTTGCACAATCATGTGCAGGAAAATTTCCAGTCCATAGTCAGAAAGACAACACAGACAGCCAATCGACCTGATGACGCATGCTGGGCTGGTCGCAATCGCTTTTGGTACATTCGCAAGCAGATGTGCTTATACCTTCGAACACAGCAGCTGTAAGCGCCAGTTGGATGTTCAACAGTCGTCTCATGGCAAAGACGATGGGGAGCAACAGCAGGCAACAGCCCTGGTATAGGGCTGTGAAGGCGCCCACGACGATGTGCACAGCTGTGACAGGCACAGCAATGGGAGCGACATTCCTGATGGCCCCAAGGCCACGATGACCCGCACTCCATACCCTTGCCCACCACTTCTGCTCCTTTGGTTGCGTGCCTGATGCTGCCAGGCGAGCAGGCCCACCAGTGCCTGTGCAAACATGGGAGGTGAAATTGGACTGCAACAACTAAATCTCAGTAAACTTTGGTACACGACCTGGTACTTGGTACCTGGCGGCTCTGTACCGAGCTAAAACATTTCTGAAAGGGGTTCATTTGCCAAAAACAGACAAAGTGCAGCTGTTAAACTTGGAGGGAATCATGGCTAGAGACTATTGTTAGCACTTCTGGCTTGCGCAGCACACAATCTCAATAAGGTTGTGCTCCAAGAATTTAACGATTTCTATAAATCATAATTTGGCGATCATCATCAACTGAGATTCTATGCACACAACCTGTCATGTCCATTTGGAATATGGCACAGAATCCTGTTCAACATCCAGGCAGTTTTCACCCAATGTGGATGGTCAATTCCGTACATGCAATAAAGGCATACTTGGGAAGCAGCATACCATTTTGGCTATGGCCGTCCAGCACTGCTGCCTCAGCAGCCTCACGACAGAGGACCAGGGTGGCTGCCAGGAACAGTCCCTTCAACAAGAAGTCCAGTGGCTTGAACAGCAGGAAGGTAGCATCAGCAAGTCTCGAGTACACTGCAAGAAGCCAGCGACGCTGGCAACTCAGTCAAGCCGTCAAGCTGGCCGATTGAGCAAGCTCAACAAAAACTGTGGGCTGGCGCAGTGCAGGGGTGACAAAGACTGTCGACCATGACTTGGCATGAACACCGTGAGAACTTCATTGCAGGCCAATATGGTGAGCAACAGCCACTTTCTGGGCAAGCAGGACGAGAGGAGAGGCTAGCACGTGATACAGGCCACCAGCTGGTTGCAGTCACTGCAGCAGTCCATCCACAGTGCTTGAAGCAAAACGCAGCTGGGTGCTTAAGCCACGATTGTGGAACTACATCATGCTGCATCGAAATACACCCAACCACTAGTTAAGGTTTGTTGACTCATCACTGTGCTTTTAAGCTATGCTCAAGAAGCATGTGGAGTTTCAATTGTTCAACTGTGAGAACAATTTTTCAATTCAAAATCACCTCCAGGATCGCCAGGGCTCTCGGCAGTGGGCATTAGTGCCTTGGGAATCATGGAAGGTGGCACGCCAAAGATGTGTACAGCTCCTGCAGCAAAGAAACTGAACAAAATAAGCTGCAGCAGAGTGGGAGAACAGCAGGGTGTTATCTTGATGATTCTGAGAAAACTGTCAATGCTTGCAGATCGATGGCCAGTCTTGGACATCCAAACCCACCGGAGTATCACACATCACTTTTCATGGGCACTATGCAGATACCATTAAGACGGGCAGGGATGTGCCATGCACAACAAGATGCTTCACAGTGCTCAATGGGCTTCATTCAACCTGCACTGTTATGGATACAGCTACCCATTGGCAAAGGTCACACACTGCAAGCATGGCACTCTTATGGAGTAACCTGGCAACCTGGGTGCCATTTTGCGAATTTCTGATCTTGGGTATCAATACAATTTGCCTATGCAGTTGACAAAATCAATTGCTGTGCAGCAACCTGCACAGTCAACCTTACCCATTAATTGGACTGATCTTTTCACAATAGACACACCATGCTGCACCTTCACATTCGTGAAAGATTGATCTCCATGTTCTGTTGCTTACATCATTCGATCAAATTGCCATTCATTCACAAGTTTCACAAAAGAAATCACCAATTTCTTGTCAATTACTAATCAGCCAACTCCTGCCTCTGTCACACAGCAGAAAGCACGAGCCTTCTCCACGTTCTTAGCATGACACAGAACATTCCCCATGCAATAGCAAAGCAGACAACCATGAGTAACCTGAGCAGTGAAATCAATGCCCGTATAGATTTGCACTACATGATTTTTTCCATGTTCACTTCCATGTCTATGGCTAATTTAGATTTCCACTGTATATTTCTACTTCAACCTAAATGTATATTCACTGTATATCCATACACATACCTTTCACGCACATGCAACAAGCAATCAATGCAGCATCTCACAAGAACCAACACAGCCACTGGTCTGCAAAGTCCAACTCAAACTTTCTTAATACCAACTCGCACATCGCATATCGGTTTGATTCCAATCAGCAAATCTACAGGTCAGATTGACACAATGGAGACACTTAGACGACCCACCCAGCGCAAGTATTTGGTAAAGCACCCACACCAGGCCGAAACGAGTTGCCGAGTTGAGCAAAGTTAGAAAGACGACCGGCAGGAACTGTTTCTGCAGCACCGCTCGTGACCAGTGCAGTAACTGCATGGATGGGTTGTCAGACCAGAAGGCCATGACGGGCTTTGGTATGGCTCTCAGCCATGCCTCATGCCCCTCACTCGTCGAGCCCTGACTGAGGAAACAGCCGGAGACGCAAGTCAAACCGAATGTTTTACATCACAACACCAAAACCCCCAGGCAATGAAAATAAAAAATTACACAGGATAAAATGAAAGAAATAAAGATACAGCCATTTTCATCAAACAGATGGCTCACAGTCATAATATGTTGATCCTGTTGCTCAAGGGGCGAGTTCTTTTTCTGTGCTGCAAACATGATAAGGAATCTCCCAGTGCAGCACAGTAATGCATCATTTGCAATATTGATATTACTCGATTGGAACATGCTTGAGTCTCTTGGCAAGATGGCAGACAAGGGCACTACGCCATTCGGAATAAGGCATTGGCCAGTGGAGGAATGCAAAACATCAGCAGCTCCTGGGGGCACACATCAGTGCTGCACTAAAGTTTCTGCCAGTTCGAATTGAAAATAACAACAAACCAATGTCGCGATCAGTCCGCAAATCGTGATGCACAACTTTCAGCACGCAAGGGATGATATACCAAAGTTAAGATTGAGAAGGCAGATTGAAAACTGGATGAGATTGTCGTCTGGATAGCATGGGAACATCGCACGAATGTGTCGAAAATGCATAGAAAGAAAACAAGCAAATAGCACTAGTGCCGTCAACAATAGTTCTGACAACTATGATGAAACAACAAAGAACAACAACAATGTTCACTCTTTAAGCTTTTGCCCTGACCAGGCAAGCTGCTAGTTCCTTCCTGTTTACTGCTCATTCTTCACATCTCAAAAAGCACACTTCACACGTGCCCCCCAGTCATACAGTCGGACAGAGGGGTCATAAAGGAGGTACTGAAGGGCAGGAACATGCCACAGAGAGACTGCTTTCAATGAAATCTGCACAACAAGAAGGTAAAATATGAGAAGGAAAGCCAAAAAGCACGAAGACAAACAGTAACAGCAGTGAACAAAATACTGGCAGAGAGCTGGCACAGCATGTTGTCGTGCAGCCCCTTTCGCCCAACCAACCTGGGGGAGCTTGTTGCCCCATTTGCGGACGCAGTCACAACAGCAGCCCCAGAAGGGGAAGCTTCACTGTGTGTGGCTGCTGGCTGCGTAGCCTCGGACCGGGATTCAGGCCTCACCACCGCATCTGCCTCTTCTCCCTGCTCTTCTGTCCCGGCAGCCAGGCCATTCACATCGGATCCTGCCTTGGCTCTGCACCCTTGCAGGTTCAATGCCAGCCACCACGATGCCCTGGGAGCACACATGTGTGCAAAAGGGCACAGAGATCGTCAGAAGCCTGGGCTGGCAAAGCTTACACTGGTCATAGGGCGGCTGGATTGCACAGCTGACATCATCGATTTTCATATTCTGTAACAGGAATGAAATCTAGCCCTTGCATATTGTGGACACGCAACAGTCCACACACAAATTGTTCTAAAATGTTCGTTTTTGCCCTGTCAGGATGCAGTGATTACCCTGGACTCAAGTGCACTGGAATGAACAGGGATATCTGTGGCTGCATAGCCCTCAAGTTCTGCAAAAGACATAAATTCTTGCCAGGGGGAACTATTAACACATCTGATGCATGCAGCATTGCTGGAACCCTGATGTGCCATGGTTTGACAACACCATGCCCGCAGACGCCAAAGGATTGCAACTCTCATATGAACTTAGACCTTTCGACTGTTCCTGACAGTCAGCAAGTTATTTTTGTGCACTGCTGCCCTAGGCACATTATTGGGCACAAACATCATGAAACAAGCATTGTGCGTGGGCTCATGCTTGTGATCGTGTTGCAGATGCAAGCGAAACTGCTTGTCACATTCTGAAAAAAGCAGCAAGGGAATTGACTTTGAAGCTGGGCCATGCTTGTTTTCTGTGCCGGTGGTAGCCAGACGATCAGTCCATCATCAGATCCACTATCAGTCCACCATGAACGTATTCCCCAAATCACACAGGACTTAGGTCCAGAATCTGCCATGAACCTTTGATCCGAGATTGCATGGGACATGAGTGGGAACATCAGCCCTGCAGCAATGTCTGCCAAATGGGCGGTCAGCAGATAAAATTAACGGATGCGGGACATAACAACGTTCTTGGATGTGCGCAAGTCCGTCATCGCCTACAAGGTGCAAGGCCACCGCTTTGTCTCGTTGAAGGCAATTCCAAAGTATTGTAGTGGGACATGACCACAGTGTTTCGCCATGCTGCTGTACAATTACGGTTATGCAATCCCGACTCCCCCATCCCCCGTTCCGAATCCTGGATTCTCCTTCTCCATCGACCACCGGCTGCGAGCTAAAATCACAAAAGGGAAACAGAAGCATCAGCATGCCAGGAACGCGCCCGCCTCGCATGTGTCGTCCGCTCATCGTGGTGTGGGGATACGACGCGCGCATCGCAGCCGCCTGCGAGGGGAGGGAGGCATATCGCAGCCAATCCAGCACGATGCGGCCAATTTTCCCAGCCCACCTCCACAACACCGATGCCGGCCGCTTCAACGCACAGACATTCCAACGCGGTGTCCACCCCACTCCTAGGCGGAAAGCGCTCCAGATTCTCAAGCACTTCCCAAACAGTCCCAAATCAAGACTCCCTTCGCGCTAAGGAAGGCGCGACATTCTACGCGTGCAGGGCAGCGCTCCGCAGCAGGGCACGGCGCGGGCCATCAGAGCGGCCCGCCAACATCATCGTTGCTCGTTCCCACCCCGGCTTCTCCCGCCCCCAGACACTGCGCGTGCACGTCCTATACCCCACCCCCCACCACCTCCGCTCCCCTCACCTCCTCTGCCCATCGCCGACATCCCCTTTGAAATCCCCACCAAAGATACACTGCCACACTCTTTCAAATCCCCCCTCCCCCTGCCCCATGCTACGGTAGCACTTGATTTTCTTTCCTTTGTATCCGCCCTGATTTGTCTCCGGGCTCCCACTACCTGTCCTTAAAGGCGGACGAAAAGTGGGATCATGCCTCGTTGTTCTGTCTTGCAACAATCATACCCCTCCCGCCATTGGTGTCAGAATCTCCCAGCCGGCGCCACAGCATCACCCGCGTCACCCCGTCAAAGCGCGAGCGGGAAATCTTCCAGCCAGTAGGATGGACTTCGGCGCAGATCGGCAATGCCAACAGCGAAAAAGACAAAGAAAAGACAAACACGAACAGGAACGCGGGGTTCGGTTGCGCACCGGCGATCGGAGGAGCCGCAACGCCGACGCCGGACTGCCGCGCAGCGTCCATGGGCCCGCGGATGCGCCCTGGAGGGGCCAGGAGCCTGCAGGGGGGCCGCCCGGAACATGCAGACGGGCGGGGGGGCCGCGGAGGGGGAGGGGGGCGGCCGGCGCGCGCTGCTGCTGGGCGCGGTTTAGCGGTCGTTGAAGGGCGCCGGGCATTCTCTTACACCGCCGCGCGGAAGAATATTTCGGGGAAATGAGGAGAAAACTAGGTGGTCCGGGGGATGGAAGAAAAAAGCTGGCGCTGCTTGCATGTTCTAAGCGTCATTCATTTTTACAGAAAAAGGCAATGAGGTGGCCGTCAGCTTCCTATTTTTCCCGAGCATAGCAGTGTCTATGATCAATTCATAGGCCTGCACGTTCTCACACCTGCATGCGAAAGAATGTTTGGAGGAATTGCGTGGAGAAAATTGGGTGGATTGGAGGTTGGAAGAAAACAGCGGGTGGGGCGCTGCTGGGCGCGTCTGGGAACGGGCAAGAGGGGAAGAAGCCCGGCCAGGAAACAGGAGTTGCATTCGAAGTTTGCAGTGCTTCTCAGCCGCCCTCTTCCTTTCCCCAAGGCACTTTTGCGAACGGTCACCGATCGGTCCCGGATAAACGGTGATCGATGCGCAAACATGGCTGCAACCAAATGTGCGTTGGCCCGGCCGTAGGGGAGTTTTGGCCCCGGTCTCTGCTGCCTGGTCTTTGCAGCTCTCAGCTCAGAGTTTACAGCGCTGCAGAGCTGGACTACGGGGCCTTTGAGCCCTCTGAACGCACCGCCCCAACTTCTGGGCCCCTCACGAGCTATGCCCACTGCAAGGCCCCCGTCCATATTTAATAGGACACACATAACGAGGCCAAGGAGACCCAATTCATGAACAACCGTCAATGAGATTCATGACATACATAATGAAACGGAATTGATGAGATTAATGACACGGCCGGATGCGTTCGGAGTGGTGGAAGCGACGATCGAGCGAAAAAAAGTGCAACGGCTGTCACGTCACGTCAAAAGCTTACACGCGCCCCCGGCGCTGGTCACCGGGGACCGGCCGGCCCGCGCACCCATTGAAATTTGCAACGCCGCCCGTAGGCCCCCCTAGCAGCTCGAACACGCGGGTGCGCGAAGCAGCAGCCCCCACGCCCCAGCCGCCGCGCTCGGCAGCGCGGCATCCGACCTCCAAACTCCACGCTCCTGCACCCGTCTTCTCTACAGCGCCCCCTGTGAATTTTGCTGCGATCAAATCGCCTGAGCCACACTTTCATCCGGAGGCGCGCCTCGAAGACGCAGGGTCGCCCTGTGCTCCCCCATCCCTTGGCGGGATCCCGGGCAGCGTCCGCCCGCCTGCCCTCCCAGCCCTTGACCGACCCCCATCGGCGGCTCTCGATCGCATCCGGGGCGCGTCGACGCCGCCCGGCCGATCATCGCGAGCCGCGACCCCCCCCGGGGAGGGCCGGGCCGATCGGCCGAGCGCGGGGGTGGTGAGCTGCGCAGATGGCGGACTCACTGCTGGACTTCTCCAAACCGTTCGACGTGCCGCTACTGGACGCCACCGTTCTGGCCTTCCATGGCGCCACGAACGCGGAACAGGTGCGCTCTCCCCCCCTTCTCTCCCCGCCTAGCTCTGCACCCCCATTGCCACTCCGGCATCTCCGGGGAAGCCCCGGCGCGCGGCGGCCCGGGCATCTTCCGGCCATGCCGCATGCTTCCAACCCCGTTCGCCCCTTGCCTTGCGCAATCTTTGGACGCACGCTGAACATCGGGCTCCCTGTTGGGTGCCTGTCTGCCCGTGTCTGTCCCTGTTGGGCGAATCGCCGTCTCACCGTCGATGCTGAATCCCATGCCGCTGAGGGCATCGATGGACGGCTGGCGAGGGCTGAAATCGCGTCTGAGCGCCGGTGTATCGGGCTGTGCGCGCACAGAGGTCGGCAGCCGAGGCTGTCCTAAAGAAGCTTCAGGAGCACCCGGACTCCTGGTCGAAGGTGGACGCCATCCTGGAGCACTCGCAGAACGACCAGACAAAGTTCTTCGCACTGCAGGTACGTGCGGGGGGGTGCGGCCGCCCGGCGGGCGGCGGTTGGCGGTGCCGATCCGGCGGGGAGGGCAGGGCCCGAGGAGTGGGGACCTCGGTGACGGACTGGAAATTAGGGCCAACGGGTGATTTCGGGCTTCTCTTTGCTGCTGTGGATGTATGAGCGAGGGGAAAGGGCACCCGGCAGTCGGGCGCTGGGATGCGCCCTTCTGAGGGTGTGCTCAGATGTGTAGGGTGTGCTGCGGGTGTTTGCTCCGGCTGGGGATGTCAGGTGCCGGCCTTCCCACCTGCTGTGGGCGACCTTCTGGCGATGCTGCTGCCTGGTGGCTTGTAGCCTTGAATGAGGACTGTGTATTATGGTCTGTTTGGAGGAGGAACAAATATGGCAGCTTGTCCAAGTTGTGGCGCACTGCCCATTTTCACTGCCCACTGCCTGCTGCCCTTTGATGTTGACTGACCTGAATTGTCAATAGAACCAGACATGGCACCCTGCAGCGCGGTTATCGAGTCTCGGGTGTCCGTTCTTGCTGGAGTTCACTCGGTGCTTTGCCTTTCATTCTCTCCAAACCCTCTATAGTACAGTGCTTTCAGCCACTGCGGGAAATTCTGTTGGCCAGTATTGAATTTTATTCCTTTCTCAAGGATTGTCTCCAGCAGTTTGTCATTAACCAATGCAGCAAGGGGTTGTCCACTGTGTGGCCATGCTTCCCCTTTTGTTTCACCTTGAACTGAGCTAAAATGGTGTCCCTCACGTTTCCCATGGGGCAACATGAAGCCACTCACTGCATCATCAACTTGTCAATGTATCAAACAGAACAGCTTGTGCAGAAGCACTTGCAAGCCCCTAAAATTTTGCTATTTCTGCTCATGGTTTCACTCTGTGAAGGGCAAATGAGATGCATGAAGCTCATTTTCCTCACCTGACAGTCATGACCACCCTTTTCCCCAGATTTTGGAATCCTTGGTGAAGTACCGATGGGGCGCCGTGCCTGAGGAGCAGCGGGAGGGAATCAAGAACTTCGTGTCAGCCGTCATCATCAAGCTGTGCAAGGACGACGCCACCTACCGGTCCCAAAAGATGATCATGAGCAAGCTCAACCTCATATTGGTGCAGATCCTGAAGCACGACTGGCCCCACCAGTGGCGCAGTTTCCTGCCTGAGCTTGTAGGTGCCTCGCGCACCAGTGAGACCCTGTGCGAGAACAGCATGCACGTCCTCAGGATGCTGTCGGAGGAGGTGTTTGACTTCTCGCGTGGGGAGTTGACACAAGCAAAGACCAAGGAGCTCAAGGCGTCTCTGAACAGCGAGTTCCGCCTGATTCACGAGTTGTGCCACTTTGTGCTGGAGCGCTCGCAGAAGACAGAGCTGGTCAAGGCAACGCTGTCGGGGCTGCACGCCTATCTGTCATGGGTGCCACTGGGATACGTGTTTGAGGGCAACCTGGTGCAGATCCTGTTGCTGCTCTTCCCCCAGGCACCATACAGGAGTGTGGCTCTGCAGTGTCTCACTGAGGTGGGCGACATTTTTGTCACTCACCATTGACCGGCGCATCCCAAACAACTGAAAAATTTTGTTGCTGCCCTGTCACTGTAAGGTGAAGCCCAAGCTTACGTTAGCTCCGAAAATGAAACACGTAAAGAATCAGTCCTGGGAGGGGTTCCAGGGGCCAGGAATAGTGTGGTGGAAGAAGCAAGTGCCAATCTGTTTCATTACTTTTTGAAGAGCATGGCAGCCACTGCCGTCACACATGTAAGGCGATGCCAGGCAAAATTCTAACTCATTGTTTCCCAGAATGCCCAATCATGTTATCTTTGCCTGGAAACCCCAGAAATGCCAGAAAAGCCTAAAAGAGTGAAAAGGAGCTCCAGACACACAGTGGAATTCGAAATAGCAGGACCACAGGAAAGATTTATCAGGAGGGAGGGTAGGGCTGAGCTGCATGAGACACTGACGGAAATAAGGACATTTGTGGCATACAATGCACAAGGGACAGGATGTGCTCGAGCAGCCCCCATTCTCAATCAGCCTGGGACAGGGCAAGTCGTCTCCTGTAGGCGCTGGGCAGCCCCTCACTTGCCGGGGGAACAGTCCATTGGAATACATGCACCAGCACGTGCTGAACAATACCTGTGCAGGTGTTCATCTCACAAAAATGCTGCTTGCCTGCAGTTGCAACCTGATCCCTGGGATCAGAGACTGGTTTGTTCGATTGGCCCCAGAACTACACCTTGCCTTTTCATCCCTGACAACTTACGACTTTTGAACACTTGCGAGATGTTTTTGTTGCTTCCTGTGTGCACAATACACAGATGAGATCCTCATACAAAGCTTCCCAGGGCGTCTGGCTGTCAAAACTGGAGACGATTGCCCATTCAATCACAGCCGTGCTTTTCCCAGTTTTTGCGCTCTTTATCAGTACACCCATCTCAAACACGACCTTGCCAAAGCGCAGTGAGGTGCTGACTTGGCTTGTGTCTGTGCATGCTGTGTCCCACAGATAGGGTCCCTGAACATCAAGGACCTCGGCAGCCACTTTGAGACATTGTACAAGGTCTTCCTGAGGCAGCTGCAGCCCATCCTCCCACAGCACACCAACATCGCCGATGCATACGAGAAGGGCTCAAACGAGGACCAGCAGTTTGTGCAGAACCTGGCGCTCTTCTTCACAGGATTCTTCAGGGTAAGGTGCAGTTGGCGTTGTTTCCTCGGTTCCGAAAATTCTCTGCATCGAAGAATAAAGGGAACAAACCATCACAATATGACGAATACACTTACATTGACAGAACAAGAGAGGGGCATGGTTCTGTTCATGCCCAGAGTTGTCTAAATAGAGCCACAGACCAACACAGAGGCCGTTCTCTGGGCTGCGTGGTGGGAACACAGCAATGATGTTCATTGTGGACACATATATTCCTGGGAGAAGCTGCCAAGTTTGCCAGATTGGGGCAATGGCAACATTGTGTTGTGTGCATTTGACATGGGCAAATGCGACAAGAGAATGATGTCCGCAGACTACACACCCTGACTGGAAACACATTACGGTACAGTGAGTTGCTGGCCTTGCACCCAGTGTCTGGTGCTGTTCCCATCCCATGTGTATGCAGCTCTGGCTGGCTTGCAGCGAAAATTTGTGTACTCCCACAGCTTCAGCACAGACAGATTGCTATTCTCAAACTCGCTACTTTTTCTGGTCTGCAGTCACACCTTCCCCTGCTGGAGACCTCCCAGGAAAACAGGGAGGCACTGCTGACGGGCCTAAGGTACCTGCTCAACATCTCCTACGTGGAGGACATCGAGGTGTTCAAGTCCTGCCTGGAGTTTTGGAATTTCTTTGTGTGCGAGGTGTACTCCTCCAGTGTGGCACACCAGGTTGGGCAGGTGGGCTTCATGTATGGCCACAGCGAGTCCAAGGACAGGGTGGAGATGTATGAGGAGGTGCTGTCACAGCTTAGGGCCCTCATGTTGGTCAGGATGGCAAAGCCGGAAGAGGTGAGGGAGTGTGTGGAGCAGTTCTGGTGCCTCGTGCTTTCAAAGCATTGCCATTGTTTTGATGGGTTGGTGTGTTGCTTCTGATCAGGCCATTGTTGCTCATTCCCACTGCTGTTCGCACGGAGGGGGGATGCTTTGTCTCGTTTGTACTCAATGGGGTTGTTGGAGTGTGCCACCCCTTTTGTGGCATTTGTCTTTTGACGTATGCAGCGCATTTAGTAATGTAAAATTCTGTAGTTTAAAACAAGAAAAGGATGCCACCAATGCAGAAGTCTGCTCTATCGTGGCTGGCATTGCTTTTCCTGAGGATTGCTAAGCTGCCTTTGTGTCCGCAGGTCATAGTGTTCAGCGATGAGGATGGTAATGCTGTCCGAGAACAGCTGAAGGACAGTGATGTGCTGGCGCGGTACAAGACCATGCGTGAGACCCTCGTGTACTTGAGCAACCTGGACCACACCGATACTGAGAGTCAGATGTTGGAGAAACTGCGGCAGCAGGTGTTGCAGGTTTTCAAGGTGAGGAGTGCCTGAAAGTGCAAAGACAGGACCAGAAGAAGTCGATTAACTCGGCTCTCAGTATCATCCCATGGTTGTGTACTTGAGGTACACTAAAATTTAGTCAAGCGCAATTGAAGCTGTGGCTTTGGTTAGCCTACAATCGGGTTTAGAATAACCCTCACACTGAGGGTCAGATGTTGGAGAAGTTGCGGTAGCACGAGTTGCAAGTTTGCCAGGTGAGAAGGGCAAAAAGAGTGTATCTGAATTGACACAAGAAATGTGAAAGAAAAATGGGGTGTGACTGAAGAATGCTATGGAGGGGAGAGCATGACTACCGGTGCTGATGACAAGGTGGCCGCCCCTGCCAGCGCTGCATGCCCTGTTTCCTGATGGCTGTTGGGCTGACTGCCACATAGGATGTGCCACAAACAAGGTCAAGAGGACCAATGCATGTTGCAGATGCAGTTATTGCCAAGTATTGAGGTACATATGTGCTGTCAAATGCTGAGATGGACCGTACTAGGTACAGTATAGTATACTAGGTACTATACATCATGCTACATTGCTTAATAGGCAAAGGGCAGCAACTTTACCTGCAGTTGAAAAGGTGATCAATCCTGATTTCATCGCATACTTTGTCACATTGTTACACACATCCTCTCACACACTTGCTCTCTGGCAGATGAAGGATGTGCAGGAACATAAGCCTGCGGAGCTCCAGTGGAGTTCCCTGTGCACCCTGTGTTGGGCCATCGGCTCCATTAGCGGCACCATGCAGGAGGACCAGGAGAGCAGGTTCCTCGTGAGCGTAATACGGGACCTGCTGAACCTCACGGAGATCACAAGGGGCAAGGATAACAAGGCCATTATCGCATCCAACATAATGTGAGTGTGCAATGCGATGCAAGATGTTCAAGACAAGAAAGCACAACATAAGGAAGTACTGCAGAAGTTTGGTGTAGCAATCATCTATTGCTGTGTGCTGCAGAGCAGAGTGATGACACAAAATGTTAATTACCATTTCACTGGGTGGGTTCATCAACACCCTTTCGATATTGTGTGTTGGATTGACTGCGTACATGGATACATTTTGCGTAGCACAACATATGTAAACAAGCATTGCCACATGTTGTGACCATTTTATATGTCAATGTTAGTCTTAACAGTTACACACTTCTGTGCTTGAATTCGTTTGTTGCCCTGCAGGTATGTGGTTGGTCAGTACCCTCGGTTCCTTCGGGCCCACTGGAAGTTTCTGAAAACGGTCGTGAACAAACTGTTTGAGTTCATGCATGAGAGGCACCCTGGGGTGCAGGACATGGCTTGCGACACCTTCCTGAAGATATGCAACAAGTGCAAGAGGCAGTTTGTGACTAAACAGGTTTGTGGGCCAACACCTTGACATCTCAGCCCGTGGCACAGTGTTTGCAAGTTGGGGTGTTCTGTAACACATGCAAACTCATAGCACATCGGAACACCCCTGCTGTCAAATGTTTTGGAACAGGAAGATATTATGGTAAGAATGTTTCAACCCTGTTATGCTTTGCAGCAGTGCTGAGGAAATGTGGTGTCCCCATTCCTGATAATCTCAAAACAAACACTTCTACCTCAAACCTGATCGACTTGATGGTGCTGAAGTTGCCCACCTGAATCATACAGTATCTGTGAACCCTGTGATGTCTTCGTCTGTATTCTTTGCCTATAGTATAAGGCAAGGTTGATCACCTGCAAGGCAACCAATGCACTGCACAGTATGCTGCGGTGCACTTTGGAACTGAAGACAAGCAGTACATGAACCCCGCCTCTTGGCTGTGTGTGTGCAATTCCATGCTGCAAGCATAGTTTTCTCCACAAAAGCTCATTTCCTGAGCTTGGAAAAGTGCCCTCTGCTACCTGTTCTTGTCAGGTGAATTTATCCCCAGACAGTGTCCTGTCAGTCTCAGGCAGGAGACCGAGCCTAGTTGTGCGAGTCAAGATTACTTGTATAGCCAGAAACAGGTCACCGTCAATGCCAACCTCCTAATCAAGCGCAAAGCAATTCCCTATCGCATTTTGCAGCTCACCACCGTTTTGTCCATCATGGCAGCATGGGAACACAGCGTGTCGTAACATCGGCTCTATGTGTGCATGGATTGCCATGATGTATTTTAAACTGGGCAGCAGGTGAGATCCGACAGGGCAGCAGTGGCTGTTGGCAGTGAATATATATTGTTGCGATTGTGCTACCAGTGAACAGGGAATGCATTTTTCCAAGTCCCTTGTTGACTGTGTGTGCTGTGTCATCTCAGGAGGGCGAGGGCAAGAAGTTCATTGACGAGCTCTTGTGTTCCCTCACTGAAACTGTCTATGTTTTGGAAAACCACCAAGTTCATGCCTTCTATGAGGCTGTGGGACTCATGATCAGTGCAGAGTGGGATGGGAAGACCCAGGAGGCCTATCTGGTATGCATGTTTCCCCAAGCTTCTTGTGTTCAATTCCTGCGAAAGAGGAAATCTAGAGGTGTACCATTCCCTGTCAGTTGTTGCCAAAGGAACGACTAAACATTTTGGATGTGTTGGTGGCTGTCGAGTTTTGCATGGCCTGATCCCCTGGGACGATTCAATCAGCTTGGATTTGTAAATGCCACCAGCAATTTGTACCACAACACGATTGCAAGGAACGTACAACCAGTAGACACAAGCCAGCGCTTACTGTTGTGTACCAAAGTGCAGTCCTCGGAGCACGAACAGACAAGTTTGATGTGTGTATTGCTGGCCATTCATTACCTTAAAGGTGCAATGGTACTGTCGGCTCTGCAAAGGCACCGTACAGTGCAATTCACAAGGCGGCACTTGAGTGCCAGGTAACCCAGTGCCGCTTGCAATTTCCACACATCTCCACACACCATAAAAAACGACCTCAAGGCGGGTTTGAGGAGAAATGATGATGACCCACCATTCCTGCCAAATGTGTAGCCCGCGCTGTATCTCTTGGAAGCAAATTAATTGCATTTCCCCCGCACTGTTTTGCTGTCATCTGCTGCATATCCACATCTTTCTGCTGTTATCTGGTGTTCTAGCCATATTGGTGGCTTTGCATTCCACTGGTGTGGAACTGAGGCGTGTGGGTCTGTGCCCCTCTCTCCAGGTGGCCCTCATGCAGATGCCCAATGACACCTGGCGGGACATCCTGGCAAAGGCCAGCCAGAGCCCTGCAGTGCTGAAGCAGTATGAGGTGATGAAGACAGCCCAAAATGTGCTGCAGACCAACACGGCCGTGTGCTCATCACTGGGCACGGCGTTCACACCGCAGATGAAGTTAATCTTCTCGGACATGCTGATGATTTATAAGTGAGCTGTGGAGGCCATGGATGACACATATTTTGGTGTTACTGGGTGTGAAGTATGTGTGGTTGGCTAAAGCTTAGGAAAGGAAGTGAAATGCATGCTGTGTTGTGGGATGCAAATGGCGGCAGATGAAGGTTGTGTCTCGTCTGACAACTGTGTCCACTATTTCTGTGGTACAAAGTGGTTTGTGATAGTGTGTGTAATATTCTACTTGCAGTGACGGGAAATCAGGTATGATCCAGTGATGCAGTTTGATTCTGGCCATAGCTGCATCTTGTAGTATTTTACAATTGTGTTTGCAGATCCTAACAGCAGCGGAATCTACTTATGTTTTCTTCAGGGTGTACAGTGAGCTGATATCGTCAGCGATCGCTAATGGCGGCCCTTATGAGGCGAAGTCCCACGTTGTGAAGTCCATGAGGTCGGTGAAACGTGCAGCCTTGAAACTGATTGAGACGTTTGTGGACAAGACGGAAGATGCAGACACATTTGCAAAGCAGATGGTGCCTCACATGCTCGACCCCATTCTGGGAGACTACAACAGAAACGTCCCTGATGCACGGTGCGGACCGTTTCTTTTGGCCATTTGTTTAGTTCTTCACTTGTCACCTTTTGAACTTTATACCTTTCTAGTGCTGCCTTTACATTGTTATTGTTTTACCATTCGTTTAGCTTATTTCTTTTCCTGTTGCTTGCTTTTGTTTTGTGATGTGTTGTGTGCATTTGTCATTTTTCTTGCTTTGATGTATGTTTAGTAATTTCTCTCCTGGTGCACTGAACGATTGAGAAGCACTGCGTATGTTGTCCTGAAGTAGAAATTTGGGACGCAGCTAATTGAGACACCCTACATATTAAAGTGGGGCTGAAACACCTCATTTGAGGTGAACAGTGGGAAACGCACATGACAAGGCTGCTGATGCCTCTATTTGATCGATGGTGTAGTGTAGCCAAGCTGGACCTGTCTGAATTGGAAATTCTGCACTGATGTAGTTCACGCAAGTCTAGTTTCATAAAAGTGCGTGTTTCTGCTCCAAAGGTTGTGGAAGGTTGTTTTCTGTACCCTTTTCTCTCAATGGTTGTTTCATTCAGATTCAGTTTGTGTGTCTGATTTCAATACTTTCAAAAGATAATGCTTTAGGCGTACTGTCGCAGGGATGCTGAGGTGCTGAGCCTCTTTGCTGCAATCATTGACAAGCTGCAGGGCCTGATGGCGGGGGAGGTGCCAAGGATCTTTGAGGCTGTGTTTGAGTGCACACTCACGATGATCACCAAGAACTTTGAGGTGGGAAGAGGGAACTGAGCACCAGTCATTAAGTAACAGTAGAAGCGATTGGACCAAGAACTGGCACTGCACAGAGCTGTTGTCCTCTGTTGTGTTGTCATTTTACTCACCACTGAGATTTGCCAGTTCGTTTCTTGTTGACAGTTGAGGCCAAAATTCTTCAAGCGATTTGCACAAGTGCCAAGATGCATTCTTTCTAACGCAACATGTCTGCACATGTTCATCCCAAGAAATTTCACCCTGACCTGTCACCGTGCATCTTAGACGGAACCTATGACTCAAAATAGCCCCATTGTGCGAATCCACTGGTTTCATCAATCGAAGTGGAAAGATTCACTGTCCGTGCAGCCTACCAGGCGATTATGGTGCTCAAAGGGAGCTGATCCACTGAGCAACCCCTCTGTCCCTGCAGGACTACCCAGACCACCGCCTGAAGTTCTTCTCCCTCCTGCACTCCATCACCAACCATTGCTTCCCCTGCCTCTTTAACATGTCCCCTGAGCAGGTCCAGCTTGTGATGGACTCCATCGTGTGGGCCTTCCGCCACACGGAGAGAAATGTGGCAGACACGGGCCTGCAGCTGCTGCTGGACCTGCTGTACCGATTCGGGGAGTCGGACTTTGCCACAGGATTCCATCAGCGTTACTATTTCAAGCTGATGCAGGAGGTGTTTGCCGTACTCACTGGTGAGTTCACACACACATTCTGAGAACATGTTGCTCACCGATCTTTCTGTGGAAACTTTGGACTTCTCAACAGCTTGTTCTCAGCAACTTGTTTTTGCGGCTTGGGGTGTGCTCAGTATGAAAACGGGAGGGTCAGCAAAGAGACTGGGCAGGTAAGTGCATGTCTGCATTCTGCTCCATTTGCCATATTGGTGGAAAACATGGATGTGACAAGTACAAGAATCTGCCAGGAATTCATGGGGGGTGCTTGTTGTCTACTCTTGCTCCTTTTTATTGTCAAATTTAGCGTGCATGTACGAAGACACCACCCCTTCATAAGTGCAATATTGATAAGACGCGAACCAGGGCACCAAGCAGCATGAGACACGGGCATTCTGTCATCTCACAGGATTGTGCTAGGCAATGCAAGGCTCTGCAAAGACTGAAGTTTTTTGAGAGCACAGCTGTTTTTTGCCGTTTTTGTCAGCTGTTCCTTACAGCATAGTGTACCAACAATTCTTTGTCGTTGTTCTTGCATTTGTTATCTTGCTCCAAGGCATGCATCACGCACAGTTTTCCTCATTGGCTTATTTCTCCTGTTCCTGTTCCAAAGCTGTTGCTTAATTTGATGTTATGGTATACCCGGCAGACACCTTCCACAAGCCCGGCTTCAAGCTGCACGCCCGCATCCTGCAGCACCTCTTCTCCATTGTGCTGAAAGGCGATGTGATCCGCTCTCCCCTATGGGACGTGTCCATGCCTGGGGGCGCTGCCGCGTACCCCAACAATGCGGCATACGCCAGGGATGCTGTTACCAAGCTGCTGTGTGCGTCCTTCCCCAACATGCACAAGCAACAAGTGGAGGTGGGCAAACTGTGTGTTGAGATTATAAACAAACTTATGTAATGTGTTGATAGAATGAAAGTATTTGAGTATGATCAGTGATGGCGCTGGCCTTTGCCCAGCAAATGTTACATGACAATGCTTTGTCGCTTATTTTCAGAATCGTTGTCCCATGTTCCAGACTGTTTCATCTCATGCAAGAATCCGCTTGCCATGCCCGCCCTGGCAGAGAAGATCTGTGTCACCGAGGTGTTGTGCCAACTGCTTTCCGACATTCTGCTGTGGAGTATCATTCATGAGTGATGTGCATCATATATATGGACATGTTAAAGATAAAAAAGGGCAGTTGCTCTTGGTGAAACATGTGCAGGTTTGCATGCTTCCCACCATCTTTTTGACCTGCCACAGTAGCGTGTTGTTGCTATTTCTCGCACTTTCTTGCACACAATGCACTCTTTCTATGTTGGCATATTACCCATGTGCATGTTCTGGCTTGTCTAAGGCATGCAAGTTGCCGCATTGCTGCAATGCTAGACCCATGCCCCTTGTGCTGTACCCACAGGCCTGCGTCACAGGCATGTTTGAGTACACCGATTTTACACAGTTCAAGCACCACTTGAGGGACTTCCTCGCCCAGACGAAGCAATTTGCATCACAAGACAACGCGGAGCTGTTCGCTGAGGAGGTGCAAGCTCAAAAGCAGGTAAGTGGCAGAACAGCCGCGACACGACGTCTTCAGGCCTTATTTTTGCATCGTTGTTGCCAAGCATGGTATCAGGCTGAAAACATGCTATGCCAGAATAAAGCCAAGAATGTTGGTGGGCTTGTGCGATGCTTACTGCAAATCAAGCAGTGGGCAGAAGCTTGGACTGGTGCAGCTCACAACGGCTTCTAACCATTGAACCCAGTGAGCTGTGTCAGCACTAGCGGAGGCCGGTTGGGGGTCACGCATGGTGACAGCATATGTGGCAGCGTGTGCACCAGGGGCTCGCTGCCTACTCCCCAGCTGTGACACCATCTTGCCACACTTGTTCATGTGACTTGTATTGTGACACCATCTTGCCACGCTTGTTCATGTGACTATTGTTTTGTGGCACCATCTTGCCACGCTTGCTCATGTGACTATTGTTTTGTGGCGCTGTTGTGTGAGGCAATTGGTTTGTTCCTCTGTGCTCCAGGCCGATCAGCAGCGACTGGCGTCGGTTCCTGGCATGATACCCCAGAGCGACATGCAGGACATGTGAGGGTTGAGAGCCAAGCACCGGTCCACCGGAAAGTTCACAAAAAGTTCACTCCCGTCATCGCGGCGTGATTCCGATCAGGTTGGGGTCCCTGCACGGCATCCGGGCCTGCTGTCTTGTGGGCTGAACAGTGTTCCAAGGGTGCCCCCACCTTTGGTGTAGCTTTCCCCTTGGGTCCTGTGTAGGTTGGACCCATAGTGTAGGCGGCCGTCGGACGCGGCTGTGGAAGATGCAGACAATAATGGAGATTGAGAGCCACATGTGTAGGCCACAAGAGCCCCAAGGGACAGTGGGTGTGGGTCTGTGGCGTCGTGCTTCGTTGTCCAGTTGGGATGGCCCTTGTTCGGATGGTGGATATGTGGGTCAGTTTGCTTGGGACAGGGTTACTGTGCCCATGGGTCCGTTGCTGTGGGTCAGGAGAGAGTCAACACGTGGGTCAGCAGGGCCCCCACACCCCCAAGGATGCACAACAGAGACAGTGGCGTCAGCAGCGTGCAGACGGCTTTTGCGTGGGTGACTTATATCGACCGACTCACAATGCATCACTGGTCAAATGCGGCGGCAGTTTGCAACAATGGTCGGCCACGGCACCCTGGCCGACAGTAGTTGCCGACAGTACTGCCCTCGTTGCCAATGTGCTGGACAGGGAGCGGTGCGGCCTGAGAGGGGAGTGGGGGCTCCCGTTGGCCTGGCCGATGTGATCCGAGTGCTGGAGGGAGGAGGGGAGGGGTCGGCGAATGAACGAGCGACTGCACATGTGCTTTGTTTGAGGGAGAATCCGTGCAAATAATAGCAGACTTCTGGCTGATTCGCCTGTGCTCATGGCGCTGCCCGCTGCATTGGTATGACAAATATGCTTTTTCATATGTGCACACTCGAGGCCGGCTGACGTGTGCTCGAAGTCAGCTCAGAAACCCAGTACTCGTGTTCTTCCAAATCAACGCACAGTTCGCGCTCCCACCCAATCGCCCTCTGGCCAAGTTTTGGCCCGTTTGGCCATCCCCCATGACTGTGACTTCGTAGCAATTCGTGTCGTGAATATGCATCAAATGCTGTCAGGGTGTGATTCCCATCTCTTGCTGGGGGATCCCACTCCACTGTCCCAACACCCCTGTCAGTGGTGGACCTCTTTTTCTGGCCATTGTTACCCACCTATTAGTAACATAAATTTGAACATTTTAGATTTATGAAATTCGAATCTCCCCGCACCACAAAAAGACAGAGCAGATTCGCATTTGGCAGGAGCTCCATCCAGCAAACTTCTGCTGAGGGCCCTTCACTGCTGCCGGGCTCGGAAAACAGTGCAACCGAAAAGCAAGCTGCAGGTTGAACTGGCGGAAACAAACGGGTTGGCGGCGGGGTCGCGTGTGCCTTTCCCGCATTGGCCATTCCAGCCCCTTCCGAACCCGCGACAGCAGCTTCCAGTCGGTGCCCCGCTTCGGAATTCTGGCCGTTGTCGATTTCTGGCGTTGGGTGGGTTTGGCGATCTGGAAACATCCCTTGGTGAGCTGCTGACTTACCCTGTTTCGCCATCGCCTGTTTGGGGGCCATTGCTTGTCTCGCCGATGGGCCAGTGGCTCTTTGGGGGTGTTCCCTAGGATCCCATGGTGACCGCCTGACTGTTTGGGGATTCCCGCTCACGTGCAAACGGACCCTGAGCCCTGTGTCTGCGGGCCAGCTTCACTGTTCTTGTGCCATCTTTGGGACTGATTTTCAACATCGTCTGTGTCTGGCCCAACGGTCTGAATGTGCGATTTGCTGTGCAGAGGACTTGCGACAGACATTTTTTTGACCGCAATTGACTTGCGGGTGTACTCTTCAGGCATAGGTGCGGCCTGGCGAACTGCCGGTTATCTCTACCTTGGAAGTAGCTTCCGTTCCGATACGACCTCCGGCACTCTGAGCGCCAATCTTACATACTCAAGTGGCCTGAATCGTATGAGGGGCTGCAATGCATCTTTGTGTGCTGGCTGCTATTGTGACGAAAGGAAGTTTACTTTTTCAGGCGATTGATGCTGTTTGAGCACGTGGCAACTTGATGAAGTTGGGAATGTAGCACCAGGGTGGTTTCCAAAGTGCACACCTATCTCCCCATCTTCCTCACTTCGCATCATAAAGTACTGATGGGAACCGGAGCGTCGTGATAACAGTGCAACGCACTGGTGCTGTGCAGTGTGCCTGGCATGGAGGCTATGTAGGATAGAACTTGAAAGTGCAAGGTTACTCATCTCAGGTGTAAACTGCTGGGAAACCTCACTTATTCTGCTTGAAATGATTACTTGCGGACACAGCAACGCAGCCCACTGCCAGCCAGGGAAGTAGGAAGTTTGGCCTTACGTATTGCTGGGATCCCATGGGACTAGGTTTTTGGCTTCCTGAGTAGAACATGTTGGCTTGTTTGTACCAAGGTTTCTTCTGAGGTGATACAAATGATGCTAGTGTGTGTTAACTCTGGTGTTGGTACATTTGCTGTGTAAGGGATGTCATTTCATTCTAATTCAACCATGCCATGGCCTTGATTGCTGCTGCACATCCTGTTGCTGGCAACTGTTCACATTCTTGGTGCTTTGAGCACGAAAGTGGCAAATTTGCCACTTAGAAAAAGGGGAATCCACTCTGACACTTAAGACAGAAGACACTCGCATTGCCAAAGATCCCAGTAGGGAATGTTGCTCCAAATGGCTGCGTGACCCTGAAGCAATAAGAGAAGGGCTAAAAAGAAGAGTTGACAATCCTTGCTTCAGAGCTGTTGCTGCCTCACGGGTCTCCTCCAATGACAAGTTGTCAATAGCTGCTGAAAAGTCACATACTCTGCTTCAAACAAAACCCAACGGAGGAAAGTGCACAAATTATGTTCCTTCTGTCTATACCATTGGTTGCCCTGCAGTACAATACTGATCGTGCTCCGTTGCTGCCTGGAGTTCTGACAGCCAAACTAGTACTGCTTTTCTTGCTATTGTGGAACATTTCTTCTTGAGTGAAGATACAAAAACCGCAACTGTTGCATCTGCTTCAATACCAATCAGAATTGACACAACTGCGTCAATACCATATCAGAATTGACACAACTGCGAATTCATACTTCGAAGTATATTGTAACATATGCACTGAGTAAGGCGCGACATAAGCAGCCGTGGCCTGAACAGCTGTGTGTTAGGATTTTGTTGATTGCATTGTTGAGCAGATGGACGGTGAGCCGGAAGCTGCGGACACTGAATCTTCTGGGCAGGCAAAGAATGTGTTTGCAGATGCCCTGAGCACATTATCTGATGAAGCAAACGAACTTTCTGGGCAGATAGAGGATGCGTTCGAAGACGCACTGAGCACAGGATCCCATGACCAGTACATGAGCAGCTGTGAAGTTTGAAAATTTGGGAGAAGCGGCTCATTGATAACCAAGGCAATCAGCAAGTTGTTGAAGGTTCAGCAGTTTATTTACTGATAGGGAAGGAAAAGATGTGCTCCAACATCTTCCGGCAATGTCTTGGAATGCGTTGCATCTGTATTTCTTGCGCCCAGTTTCTTTCAGTAGTACATCGGAGGTTACCTAACAGCGCAGAACCATAACATGAACAAAAAGCAGGGCGCTACTGGGGGCCGGGCGCTAAAAAGTTACATTAATTTAGTGAATGAAATCACAATTTAATGCATCAATGGGACTCCCCATCGGTTTCTATGCAGTAGAAAGCCCATGGACCATGAATCGTTATGAATCATATATACCTGGGTTTTCATTTGGGTTTCGTCCAGGTTGTGTCTGTGAGTTAGGATACTGTCAGGAAATCAAGTCAATCTATTGAGTAAAGTGGATTTGGCAGCATTTTTCAGCACACGTTCACAGGCCAGAGAACTTGAATTGTTGACGTCGTTATGGAGAACGCTGTTCTTTGCATTGTTGAAGAGCATGCCATCGTGTCAGGGAAACACAGCCACTTATTCAAAGGAATGATTGATTTCATTTGAAGAGATATCGGCGCACTGCTTATGTACAAGCAAGCCAATACCAAATGTCCCAAAAGGACTTGATCACACAAGTCGTCTTGTTGGGCTTGCGGCTGCAATTCAAAATCAATTAGCCGAACTGGAGATGCCTTGTGGCACCATGTTTATGGGCAATAAATTTTGGACCTCTACCAGCGCTGTGAGGGTTACCGTTGGAGTCCCCCAGAGCCCTCAAGAGCTGCAAGGAAAGGCGATGGCATCACCTCAGTCAGTGCTGGGTGATCAGGGGAATCGCCTCCAAGAGGGGAATGACAAAGTCCACCATTTCTTACCTGCTGGGAAAGTCAATTTTTGGCAAGGGCTGAGACTTACTACTTTGCTTATGCACAGGCCACAGGTGTGATTCAGAATCACAACTTGATGAGGTTGCTGAAGGCGCAGCTTGACAAAGCGCTGGGTGTGAGGTTGCCACATTATGCAAATGCAGAATATGTTGACAATTTGAGTTCCAAATTGCACGCCTTCATCGGCTCCTTGGCAAACATGGAAACCCTGGTAGCGTCATGGACTTCTACATGACTGAGCATGTACATTCTGCGGTGGAGGAAACATGCACATCACTGCAAAGGGTCATTGTGACTGGCAACTGGAGCACACAGTGGATCTTGAGGCCAGCATTCGCCAAAGTGATATTCAAGCAGACAAGGAAGACTTGCGCAAAATCCTTCAGTCCATTCTCACTGGCCAACTTGGTGATTTTGGTTTCGACCAAGTACCACAACACTGGCATGTCCAGAAGAAGATGCGGAACAAGTTGTTGGAACGTCTGCAATTCTTTGATGAAAGCCAGCTTGAACTTGAAAGTGCGACTAGGAAAGGCTACAGGAGTACTGTGTAGATCGCCAAGTGGGGGAAGCAGAAAGTGTCTGTGAAGAAGTAATCCACTTCTCTGCCAGTTGAGGATGTTTTCTGCCGCATTAGGGGCGCTGTGACACAATCCTCTTTGATGCATGATCACATTTTTTCCATTTGCGCTGTCACCAGCAGTGGGTGTCTGGCGA